TCATGTGCCACTTAAGGTCTAAATGGGTCTGACCAAGATGACACCTTCTCTTGGGCTCATAAAGACATTAGGCAAGCCCTCTCCATAAGACTTGGGCTTTCTCTTAGGCTGAAAGCTTAGACTTCTTTCATTACTTCTAACTCATAATAAGAGCTCACGTAAGTCCTTGCAATCAAATAATTATCAAGAAAATATGAGAGAATCACTACTTGACTTCATAAAAGTTAAGTGGGGTTAGTCTCATAATATTAATAAAATAAGTAAAATAATATGTACTATGACTTAAATAATAAAATCTTATAAATGTCATAATAAGTCGATAACACGTATAATTACATTCTCTACCCATTAATTAGCATCTATATATAAGATATTAATGTATACGTGTAACTATATAATTTATAATTATCATGCATGACATATTTTCTAACTATTAGATTGTTCATCCTCTAGTACATATCATCTGAAAATTTGATCTTACTAAATAAAATAAATTAGGTTCATTCCAAAATTATCTTCTAATTTTAGCAAAGAAATAATCATATTCATATTTTTTTCTAAAATTTTGGTAACTGATTTGAAGCTAAAAAATTTATAATATGAACGTACTATGGATGTTTTTGTTGTTGAATTGTCAAAATTTACTCATTAAGGAATGAATCATGTAAAGAAATGAGATCAGCCTCCATAGTACTTAATCTTGAAAAATGATCAGCTATCACATTCTCAAAACCTTTTTTATCTTTAATTTTTAAATCAAATTATTGAAGTAATAAAATCCATATCAAGAGACACGGTTTAGCACCCTTTTTATAAGAAGAAACTTAAGTCTAGCATGATTAGAATAAATAATAATTTTAGAGCCTAAAATATAAGATCTAAATTTTTCTAATGCAAAGAATACTGCCAATAATTCTTTTTTTGTGGTTGTATAAGTTAATTGAGCATCAAAAAGTTATTTTGCTTGCACATGCTATTACCATAAATTTTCTATCAATTTTTTCGCCCTATGACAACCCCAATAGTTTGATTAGATACTTCACACATAATTTCAAGTGGTAAAGACCGATTTAGAGATTGTAAAATAGATGCTTGAGTTAATTTTTTCTTAATTAAATTGAAGGCATGTAAATAAGAGTCATAAAAAATGAATGGTGCATCTTTAGCAGTGAAGTAAGTGATTTGCCTATTTTTGTAAAAATATTTGATAAATCTCCTATAAAATCCAGCATGACATAAAAATGAATGAATTTGTTTAATATAAGTTGGAGCTTGTAATTTAGAAATAGTTTCACTTTTATCTCTATCAACTAATAATCCTTTATCACTTACCAGATGACTCAAGACCATTCCTTCTTTTATCATAAAATGACTCTTTTCACAACTCAAAATTAAATTATTTTCTATGCATTTATTTCTTTTTCTAAATTATGCAAACAGTCATCAAAGGAGTTCTCAAATATAGGAAAATCATCTATAAATACTTTTATATCATTTCCTACCATTTCTGAAATAATTGAAATCATTCAATATTGAAAAGTAGCTGGGGCATTACAAAGACCAAAAGACATCCTCTTAAAAGCAAAAGTACCAAAAGGACATGTACATGTGGTCTTTTCTTGATCATCTAAAGGAATAAAAATCTGATTATAACCAGAATATCTATCCAAGAAATAAAAATATTTTGACCCACTAACTTTTCTAAAATTTAATTTAAAAATCCTAAAGAAAAATGATATGTTTTGGTTTCTGCATTTAATTTTCTATAATAGATCAAAACCTGCCAACTAGTGGTTAATCCTATTTGAAACTCCTCTTTTTTCATTTTTTATTACAATCTATCCAGATTTTTTTGGAAACACTTAAATAAGGTTCACCCACTTGCTATCTGAAATTAGATAAATAAAATCAGCATCAAGCCATTTCATAATTTCATTCTTCAGGACCTCCCTAATATTTAGATTTAATATTCTCTAAGGTTGTCTACTAGGTTCAGCTTTTTCTACATAGATATGACCTGTGCATATATCTGAATTTATTCTCTTCAAATCAGCTATCTCCCAACCAATTTCTTTTTTATATTTCTTTAAAAGTTCAAGTAATCTAATTTCTTCATATTCCTCCAAATCTGCAGCCATAGTTACAAGAAATGATTTTCCTAAGAATGCATATTTTAATCTATTCTCTAATTCTTTAAGCTCGAATTAAGGATTATTTAATTTTTTACTATGTTCTTCCTTAAATCCCCAAAGCTCTTGTTATTTTTCTGTATTTTTTTCAGCTTCTTCTAATATTTCTTCAAGTTAGTCCTGAAATTCTTCAAAATTCCATGAATATTTAATTTCTTGATTGGCAAAAGTTTTCTGCACACAATCATCTACATCATCCATTTCATTCATTTCTGAAACTTAAATTTACATCAAATCTATTTTACGACACTCAAATTTTTTTTTACTTGATAAATTTTCTACACTTTGAAAATTTTTAATTTCCACAATTTGATCTCCACATTTGATTTTTTCTATTCTTGTTGGGACATCAATATTTATTTGAGCAGTATTGAAAAATGGTCTACCTAAAATAATTGGCATTTTGCTAAATTCAAAATGTGAATTCATTTCTAAAACCACAAAATCAGTGGAAAATAAACATCATTTCACAGTTACAACTACATTTTCTAATATTCCTTTTGTATTTTTAATTAATAGATCTACAAATTAAAGCACAACAGAGGATGGTTTTAAATTAGAAACTTGAAAACATTCACAAACTGCTATAGGTAATAAATTAATACTAGCACCCAAATCTAACAATGCATTCTTAAAAACATATCCACCAATATTATAAGATATTAAAGGCACACTTGGGTCCTTAAGCTTTCCTGGCATTTGATTCAGCAACATAGCACTTGCATGAGTAGATAATTTTTCCATTCTTGGTGCTCTCTTTGGTGTTAAATTCCTTCAAAACTTTTGCATACATTGGAATATTCTCCACTACCTAAAAAACAGGAACTTTAATATAAACATCTTGAAAAAAAATCTTAAATTTTTATTTTTTTCTGATTTCTTTTTCTGCTTTGATTTTAGTACATCTAGTAAGGAGACACTCTTGGACTTTGGTGGAGATTTCTCTACCATCTCCTTAAATTGTTGTGATTGCTCTTGTTTTTCATCTTCCACAACTATTGGCTCTTCTTTTTCTTCTGCTTCTATCATCTCTTCACATATTTCAAGTCTTTTTTTTTTGCATTCTCTTTCTCTTCATATGGATTGTTGAGAATTTTCTCATTTCTCAATGTGGTGACCACTCTGATTTGTTTATTTTGGTGTGCTTTAGATTTTTTATATAACTAGGCTCTCCTTGTTGATATTCTTGTTGTTAACTATTTGGATTTGCTAAGGTCAGACTTGGAAGTTGCTCTAGTTAATTTGTTTTTTTTTTGTTGAGTTTTGTATCTATCCTTTGTTCCATTTGCATTATACTTTCTTGAATTTTTTGTTGCTACTGCTCAAATTTGTGTTGCATCTCTTACTAAAAAGTCATTTGATTTTGTATCATTTGACTTATCATTTGATGCTACATGTTCATAGAAGGATTAGTTTGACCAAATGGAATATTAGATGAATAAACTAGAGGAACTTGCATAGATCTAAATTTATTTTCATAGGTTTATTTTGAGAAAACTGGGATTTCAAAGCTTATGAATTTTGGATATTGTTTGATATTTAGCCCATGCCTCATGAAAAGCTCCTCTTGAATTTTGTGAAAAATCTAAAATTACCTTCCTCATGCTTTTGGTTTCTCCTCTAGAATAAAATCTATTTAAAAAATCATGCAATAATATAGCACTTATTCTATTGTTTCCATCTAAAGTAGAAAACCAATAAATAGCTTCATTCTTAAGAGAAAATGGAAATAAAGTCAATATCATTGAATCATAAACTTCCTTAATGGTAGCTCAAATTCTTTGAAATTCTCTATGATGAGCATAAGGATCTTCATGTTGATGGCCATAAAAAGTAACATTTGAAAAACACTAGGTTTAATTTCTTTAGTACCAACAGGGTTTCCTAATAGGTCTTGACATGGATTTAGGGTGAAATTATCCTTCAATAATCTAGGCTGCTGATTGACATTTTGAGGATTCAAATTTCTAAAGTTTTTAGTAGAAAACCTTTTCTTTCTAATTTTAGAAAATTCTGACCTTAGGTTTAATGATCTCTTACCTAGCATCCACCACATTAAAGAAGAAAAGAAAAGAATAAAACTAATAAAATAATACAAACTGAAAAGAAATAAACAAATACAACTATCACAATTTTTTTAGAACTATTTATTTTTTATCTATCACATGGATCATAAAATACACATTTTTAAAAACTTTCCCTAACAATAGCACCAAAATTTGACTAAATTTTTTATTTCATCGTACAAAAAAATTAGTAAACTTACAACTTATAAATGCTGGAAAAAAGACCAGCTTAGAATAATTTATAGGGGTTTTAGGTCTAACACAAGGAAGGTAAAAAAAATAGTTAATTTTTTATTATTTCTAATTTATAATTGATAGATTAATAGTTTATAATTTTTAATTACTAAAAATAATAAAAATAATTTAAAAATAAGAAATTGGGGATTATGACATCAGCCGACATCAACATGAGAAGAACACCACCCAAATTTGGCGTTCACCATCTTTGATAGACAACACATTGCAAGGATATAGAGCAGAGAGCTTACAATTTGAGGATGTTTGGTATTGCTTCTTTTGTGCAAGTTACTGCACTTGTATTTTGTCTACATAAGGATTTTTGACATTTGTACTTAGCATACTTTGTATTTTTTTCAATTTGTAATTAATGTACATTCATTCATTTTTTAATGAAATCCTATATTTCATTAATTAAATATAACTAAATCCAAAATATATAATATTTATATGAAGGAAAAATAAATAACTTTTAATACAATATAAAATAATAATAAAGTGCAATGCTTTAGCAAAGCTTAAATAAGGGGCCAGATGTAGCCAAGTGGATCACGGTAGTGGATTGTGAATTCACCATGTGCAGGTTCAATTCACGTCTTCGTCCTATATAAAATGCCATTATATTATGCTATGGAGTTCTAATAGTTATAAAGAATTCGGATATAATAATATTATCATATAATATATAAATTATAAATGAAACTAGATATTAGTTATAAATATAATTAGCAGATTACTCCTTTCTTTTTTATCCCAAAATTTCAAAAATGGTATTTTCAATATGCCTATTTATAGAGATGAAGAAGAAAACTATCATTAGATCTTTTCTTTTCCTACTTCTTTTAGACAAATTATGCTCATAGAAATTCAGAACTGCAAAAACATATTTAGCAAATATTCAAAAGAAAAAGTACCCAAGTCATATGCAAATTCTATTACTTTCTCAAATATTTAATTGAAAGAATACACAACAATGTCCTCCTATGTACCATTAACAGTCCTAAGACCAATCCACAGCTTTTCCTTAAATCAACAAAAAAATGATTGATGAATTATTTTACCACGATGAAACAAATCCAGAAAGGATTGATCAAACAAATCAAAATACAATTCACCTTATTTCAATGATCCAAAAGTTGCTTTCTAATATTAGTAATGAGAATTCAAATATTTATTGTAACTTATCCTCTTTGTCACAAGCATATGTATTTTACACATTGTCACAAGTTCAAGTTAAAAAAAAGAAAAAACAATAACAAGTATTACTTGAGATCTGTATTTCAATATCATGGGACCCATCTTTTTCTTAAAAATATAATTTAGGATTATTGTGGGACATGAGGACTATTTGATTCCAAAACAAAGTATAAGAAAGTTTATAAGTCTGGAGTTAATGAATGGAAAAATTGTTAAAGAGTCATTATCAATACAATTTATCTCAAACTCAATGGTCTCAATTAGTACCACAAAATGGAGAAATCGAGTTAATCAATGTTGTACAATTTAAAAAAAAACCTCAATAGTATTAGATTAGTATAAAAAAACCAATTAATTCCTTACATGAAACAAAATTATTATGGAATAGACTAATGGACAGGACAAAAAGAAAAATTAAAAAGAAACTATAAATATGATCTTCTAGTGCATAAATATATGAATTATGAGGATGGAGGGGAATCATATTTATGCATTCCCATTATAAGTAATAGAGACAAAAAAATCATATAATTTAAATACACAAAGAACATAGAAACCTGAATCATTTTATGTACTATTAGGTATAGATATTAGTGATTATCTAGGAGAAGAATGTAGTCCATATGTCTCCAGAAATATGTTGACTCGTATTTCTTGAAATCAAAGCCAAAGTAATTCAAATGAAACTTCGAGTTAAAAAGAGAAATTATTCGTAACACAATTTATAACTAAATAGAATTTTTATAAATGAAATAAAGTAAGAATCATGTAAATTATTTAAGTTTTAGGAAGAATGGGCAGAACGGTCATCGATAAAACTTCTGCCTATATTCAATCTATTTGTCCATGCGCAGTGTACCGAATGGATTCCTACACAATCTCCAGTCAATGAATGATGATCCCAACAATTGTCACTTGCTATAACTGATTGACAACAGTGATTTGAATCTAAGCATGTCGTGGCATCTGAAGAAGGATCCTCAGAAGAAATCTTCACCATTTGTATCGAGTAAAGAATGAAATGAGTTCATGGATGAAGTTCAACTTCTATAATGACTGAATTAGAGAGAAACTAAGACAAAATCTATCATTTGTATCATATGGATTATTTTGGTGAATCTGGTGTTCGTTGCTGCCAGAGGAGAGAGAATGGTTGTGAGGAGCAATAGATTGATGAAGATGCCTCACTCTTCCTCCCCCAATATTTTTTCATCTTACTATGCATTAGTTCTATTGATTTCATCGAATCATCTGTATACTTCTCGCTATATTCATTACATCCATCATTGATGTCAAAAACCTAAAAAACGAAATTAGTCCCATATTTTAATTTTATGATTATATTAGTATTATTATTTATCATAATAAACTTAAGAAAATTAAGGAAATTTTCAAAAAAAATACGATTAATATTGAAGAATCTTGATAATAATATTAATCATTGGTAAAACCTATCAAAATATTTCAGGTTCAATTTCATAATTTAATTTCTATAAATTAACAATATAATCATATAAGTAAGTTTAATTATTTTTCTAAATTAAATAAAATATTTCTATAAAATTAAATAATAAATTATGAATTATTAAGCATTTTATCCTATAATTAATGAGAGTTATGAGTTAGTAGCTAACTTCATCTAGAACAAGATATTATCCATCGATCGCATTAGAGCCATAATTGTTGCACATCTAGTGAATTTGTTTGTCAATAGAGATCCCTTTATAGTTTTAACTATGTTTGTCCACTCTATAAATAGAACCTATATTTTGTCTCTAGGCAGGCTATCCTTAAGAGAATATTCTCTTGGTCAGCTTTGATCCCATCACCATGGTTGGATTGGTTGCTAGGACCCCATGCTCCCAATTGGAGCTGGTAGTGAGAGCCACTTACTTGACACCTCCACCCCCCTTTATTTTTCTTCTTCCTTTATCCTATGCCCTTCTCTTCATCCGAAAAGATGCCATCTGTTCACCAATAAGAGGGAACTGACATCTTTAAAGGTGCATTGACCCTAGAACATGATCACAAGGTCTCTATATATGTCAACAACCTTCCAATGATCATGCATAATGATGCACTCCTTTCAATCCTATTTATTTAATATATTTTCTTTCTATAGTTCTTGGAGAATCATAAAATAGCCACCATTGCATGTCTTACTCACTAAAATAAATTACTGATGTGAGATTAATAATCTATTACTTATGAAAAAGGAGAGTATCCTTAGTGGTGTTTCTAAGCTTCTAGATCCTTCTTGCCTCTTTCTTAAATTTTGATTATTCTAAATTCTCTTCCTCTACTCATGAATCCCCTCATGAGTATCAATTGATTTTGACTATTTTAATTACATCGACATACAAAAAGAAGGGCATTATCCTCATTGATGGAGTGGGGTGATAATAGTGACTAGCTGCAAGAGATAAGGATGCACTATGAATGAGGTGGCAGCCTATTTGCATCTAATGATCAATATTATCTCGACAAGTGGACCATGGTAGCATACACTGGTCTCCTGACCTATGCACATGACATTAGGACACCTCCAGATGAGTCTAGATTCACACAAATTCAGAACATATGAATCTATAAGAATCTTGAGAGGGAATACCTAGCAAAGGTGAAATGGCTGAATGGAAAAGTAAGTATTAGTGATTCAGTGGGCCATGGATGAAATACTACATAGTTTGTGTTTGTATTTGTATTTGATAATGCCCATGATTTTTTGAATCTACAACTTGAGCTTAGGATTCATTGCTAAATCTGCCATAGTTTGACACAGCAGAACTTGAGAAGGGGATGATTTAGACAAGTTGTGATCAACTATAATGTTTTGAAGGTTGAAATCGTGTCTTGAATCCTTGAAAAACATGCTTCAGTGGTTATCCCTTCACTTTGAACCCACAAATTAGAGAGGACAAGTCTCTTGAGTCTACAAGAGAGTGATTCTAAATCCATTGAATCGAGAACAGGGTTGTTGGAGTCCAGCAACATAGGAAGAGAACTTTAAGAGAAGAAACTCACGAATTTGATGATACCCATTTTTAAGATCAATTTTGGAAAAAATTCTAGAACCATACAGCATGTCAAGCATATCATCGAGTCTTAAAATTAGAAATCTATATTTTACTATGATTTTGTTAATTACTCGACTATCTTTTTTTGGAACTAATAATATAAGTATTGAGCATGAGCTCATACTTTCACGAATTAATCTTTTCTCTAGTAGCTCTTCAACTTGTTCTTGCAAAACTTTATTGTACTCAGGGCTCATTTTGTAATGAGATAAATTTGACAAACTTGCTCCATGAATCAAGTCTTTATAACGTTGTATGTCCCTAAGCTAAGAAAAATTTATAGGAGAAACTTGTGTGATAGAAAACTCATTTAGCGTATTCTATACTACGTCAAGTATAACACCAGAATAATTCAAAGAAATATTCTATTTTTTAACCACCATAAATACTCTTGAATTTTCTTTCAAAGTATTAGAGAGTTCCTTTTTATCAATCATCATAACTTCTTCTTTTCTATCACTATGCTCGAAAACTCATTTTTTTTATTAGGCATAAAACAAACTTCTCACTATTTTTGTAAAAACATCTTCAATAATATTCTCTTGAATTTCTTCATGATTCCTCCACCCTCAATCTTATCTTCATCTATGGCCTCTTGAAATTCACAACGCCACATTTTGGACAAGTATTTGATTTGTAACCCTTCTCATTACATTTGTAATATTTTGGAATAGAGTTTGGCACATATGAATTCTTTTGAGAAGAATTTCACCCATTAAGAATAGATTCACTTGGTCTTAGTGCAGCTAAGATTGATGATCTTTCATTACTGATAGCAAATGAAATAGGTGTTAATCTTGACTTGTTTAGTTAAATTGTTGACACATTAGTAGAATTTTGAGTTCTGATTTTTCCTCTCTAATAAAGCTTTAGCACATTCTGATGACATAATAACATCATTTAACTTGAAAAAATAATTTTAAAGTCACCATTTTTTCAATATCCCATTAAAGTTTACTTTTAAATCTAAATAACATATAAGATTCAAATTCAGTCAAATCATTTCTTGATGAAAATCTATAAAATTTCTTAGCATATTATGTGAGACATAGTTCCCTATTTACAACTTTGATATTGGTGATATAAAATCTGTCCATAATCAGAAGGAAGAAATCTAGATTCTAATAATCTCTTCACCTTGTCCCAAGTTCAAACTTGATCTTTTCTCAATCTCGCACGAGTGAATTACAGCTGATCCTACCATGTAGAGGCCCCACTTTTGAGTTTATAGGCAACTAATTTCACATGTTTCTCATCAAAAATCTCTAAATATTCAAAAAATCTCTCAACTTTAGACATCTAATCTGAAAATTCTTTTATTTTAAATGTCTATTAAAACTAGGCATATTTTTTTTCATTCAAAAATCTTCGTAATAATCATAATATGATCTACTTTTTCAGCTTCCTGTCTCATTTGATAAGTATATATGTGAGAGATTTAAAAAAAATCTTTTTGACTAGTTTGACCATGAGATTGAAATTCCATTGCAGACATTCGAGCTAAGATTTGCTTCAAAGTGTCATTCAAAATTTCAAATTTTTGTTCCATATGAGTCTTGAAATCAGCAAGCTCTAATTTTGAAATAGGACATACCTCAAAACTTTAATTCTCATCAATGTGAATCCCTTTACCTCATGACATCTTGTAAATCTAAATATGGAATGCTGACCTTGCTCTGATACCACTTGACACATTGAAACTTGAGAAGGGGATGGCTTGGACAAGTTGTGATCAACCCTAGTGTTGTGAAGGTCAAAGTCATGTGTTGAATCCTCAAAAAATATACTTTAGTGATTGTCACTTCACTCTAAACTCACAGGTTGAAGAGGACAAGTCCCTTGAGTCCACAAGGGGTTTATTCTGAATCTACAAAATCAAGAATAGGGTTCTCTTAGTCCATAGGGGTGCTAGAGTCCATTAGTAGAGGAAGATAACTTCAAGAGAAGAAACTCATGAAATTATATTGATAGAAAAGTAGTATGGCTCTAGAGCTTCATGGGGTGCACTAAGATTTGAATGTCAAATGAAATATAAATTTAAAATCAAATTTCAAATGAAATTTAAATTTTAAAAATAAAATCTAAAATGAGAAATAAATTTAAATTCAAAAAAAATTAAATTTCGGATGAATTTGAATTTCAAATTCACATTTAAATTTTGGATGAAATTTAGAAATAATAAAAATAGAGATATGAGCCTAATTTCGTAATTAGGTCAATTGCAACTAAAGTGGGCTTCAAGTTGCAATAATAATAAGCTTCTACGTGCATTAATAGTGAGCTTCAGGCTTTGGGATGCATCATAGTTCTAAGTGAATATTGAGTTATACCAACTAAATGATATCAGCCATCACTTTAAGATAGCATGAAAAACTCAGCTGGCTCTAATCTAATGGGGTCTGAATTAGGGTCTACGGGTTGGAGAGGATAGAGCTTTGAACCCAAGGGCATTCACTGCCTTCTTCTTTAAGAAACAAGCTATAAAATCATGAATAAACCCCAAGTAGAAAAAAGTCATAATTTGAATTCAAAAATAAGTAGAAAAAGAAGATAGGTAGCTTTATAGATGATTTTCAAGTTATGATGTTATTTATGGTGCCACAACATAAGGATTTAGGAATTCTTTCTTGTTCCAAGATAAACCCCAAGTAGAGGAGATTGGCAGGCCATCTTGTCAACCATATTCCAGCATCATTTCAATTTTCCTCTTAATACTAATGTTATTCATTAATATTGTGTTACTTTTTCATTCAAAGTTTGTTCTAAAACAATTTATGAGACATCAACAATCATGTTGTTCTGCTCCAGTCTATAGAATATGGAACAACATAATTACCCATCAAGGAATTTTATGAAGATAAATTCATTTTGATCCACTTCATCATCATTTAGTTATAATTTTATATAAATTAAGAAGTAAATTCAACAATCAAGAATTTCAGCCATATCCCTATTATTCTCTAAAGTGGGCGTCTCTTGGCATAAAGCCTGAAGAAAGGATGTATATTGGATCTTGGCTAACACTAGATGCTAGCTCCACAGAAGTAGTTGTCATATGAAAATGTGAAATTATCATGTACAAAATATAAGCCAAATATTAAGAAGGGCATTACACCCAAAGACATCCATTTTCAGCATGCATGCTATTGTATAATCTTCCTTCTCTCTCAAATATTCAGTGCAGGTCCATAATTTGGTATTTGAAAGCCCTCAATCATCACAATAAGAAACACAACCAATTTACATTTATTAAGCACACAAAGCCATGTTGCGACATGCAAGCAATGTCAGATATCATCTCAATAATGGGCTTATCCCAGAGCTCAACGGTGATGGAAGGACACCAAGCAAGCTTTCCTCCTGAGCATTAAGATTGCTAGATGAGTCAAAGAAAGCCATAGCATTCAAGCAGTCCTTCAGTTGTATCACCACATCACTCATGCTTGGTCTTTGGTTTGAGTTGTGTGTTGTACAAGCCATCGCAACCTCAACTGTCTTCCACATAGAATTAATATCGTACTTACCGTGAAGTCTCTGATCAACAATTGCGGTGATATCACCTCTTTCAATATGTGCGTGGATCCATGAGACTAACGACATTTTTTGTAAGCCGTTAATAATTGGCGGCTGTCCAGTTATTAGCTCTAGCAGTACGACTCCAAAACTATAAACGTCAGTCTTCTCATTTAATTCAGAGGTTTGATAGTATCTGCCATCACACAAGTTTCAAAATTTATTTTCTTAGTATCTAATATACTTTGAAAGATTCCTATTTGAATAAGTAGAAAATAAGAAGTTAAGATACGTGGAAAACATACTCGGGATCCAGGTATCCTGGGGTTCCTGCAATGGCAGTTGATGGGTAACATCTTTGATCATGGAAAATTCGAGATAGTCCAAAATCAGCTAACTTTGCCGTAAGGTCTTCACTTAATAAAATATTTGTGCTCTTCACATCTCTATGAACAATGGCTGGCTTGCAAAAGCTATGCAAATAATCGAGACCTACAGTAGGAGTTTATATCAATTATATCATGTAAGGACCAGCCAAAAAGAAATAAAAATAACAAAATGCTAGAATTTATCAACGGACCTTGTGCAACATCAACCGCTATTCTCAGTCTGATTTTCCAACTTAAAATGCTATTCTCACTGCTGTTATCTATATGTAGGAAATTAAGCATTTACGATGTAACAGAAATATGGAAATAAAGTGTTTAGAAAAAAACTAAATGCTTGCTAATGAACTTTAAGCTCACTTACCTGCCAAATGTTTTGCAAGGGAACCTTGAGCCATAAACTCATAAACAAGTGCTAGATGACTAGGATCATTACAATACCCCAATAAAGATACAAGATTTCTATGGTGGACTCTTGTTAAGATTTTTGCCTGAAATGAAAGCAAAAGCAAAATAAGTCGAGTGACCAAGATTCTAACAAAGCCTACCGTAAATATCTAATTTTAAGTCTTACAACTTGCCTCCGCCAGAAATTCTTTCACTCCTTGAGTTGATGATTCTGAAAGCAACTTTACTGCAGCCTGAGTTCCATCTTGTAAGTTGCCAAGGTACACAATTCCAAATCCACCTTTGCCAATCTGGTTAGAAAAGTTTTTTGTGAAATGTAAAATTTCTGCAAATGTGTATTGGTTGCCGTCTGAATTAACATTTCGGTTTTGCTCTCCTCTTTCCTTGCCCAATATTTCTAATGGAAAGCCAAAAAAAACATTCAAAATAGTCATACAAAACAAGGAATACCAAAAATGCCAAAATGGGAAAAAATTATCACAAATTTATTAAATACCTGGGGGAATACATTTCGCGGTGTCCAGCCTCTTTTTTCTTACTCTTCGCAGAAGAGTAAATACCAAGACTAGTGCAAAAATAAAAATTGCTGGTGCAGCAATTGAAACCGCCAAAATAATCCCCTTTTTGCTTTTCTTTTTCTCATGTGGATTCTCTTCTGTGAGAAGCCTTGAGTTGCCCTCAATACTAAATTTTTCCATATAAACATCAATGATGAGTGATCTTATATTAGTCATAATCCAGCAAAGAAAACCACTAATCGATGAGCTTTCAGAAAAAATAAGCAACAAATATCATTGGACTGTGAATAGCAGATTATCTAGTGCATATTAAAAGTAGGATTCGACCTGTTTTAAAGGTTCTATCATTGTAGGCGATTTAACTCCTTGTTTTCTTACATCTGTGAGGATTTTTGATGTAATAAGATCGAAAGATGAAAGTATAAGATTGCATTTTTCCTTCTACATCCTCTATCATCATTTGAGTAATAATTTATTGGGTCCTATCTCAAGCAGCATTTTCTACTATCTCAAAGGCTTACACTATCCAAGAAATAGAAATAATACAATAAAAAAAGAGTGGAGACAGATTTGAGATATTTCTTCGATTAGAACATCAGTAACAATGGTGTCATAATGCTTTCAATTATTGATAAGATATTTTTTTATTAAAATTAATGTAGCATTAGTACTTAATCTGAATTCTAACCATTTAAATTACAGCATAGTATGAGTTTTATCAATAAAAAGTATGGAATAAATTAACTGGAAAAAAAAATATTTCGTTAATCTAAACAGTGGGACTCTGTTATCCAATTAGCTTAGCATATTAATTTTTGGACCATTTTCTTTTGAAATAAAAGTGTTATAAAACTCCCCAAATGTGTTATATATCATTAAATGCGTTTGTAGTTTCCATAAAATATTTAACTTGATTGTCTTTGGCCAAATAAAAGAAATTTGCAAAACATTTGCAAATGCAAGCAATTTATTCGTACTGTTATTTTTATTTACTATAACACTGTTATATTGATATGGACTACAAGTATGGCTCAAATTTGGAAATAATAGACCGACCTTAATGTGAGCGAGCCAGCTTGTGATTTTTCTAAGAGGATCTTGGGCACTTGCCCGCTCAATTGATTATCTGCCAAGTTTCTAAAAAAATATGGAAAAATAGTTAACGTTATAATAAACTATGAAAATCAATAACGTAGTATGTGAAATTTACATGAATTTAAGTTTTGGCAGCTCTGCTAGATCGCCAGGAATTTCACCAGTTAGGTTGCTATGAGACAAGTCCCTGAAAAGAAAAATGATAACTGTGAACATTTGCACTATTCCTTGGCCGCGGAGGGTACTCATTATTGTGATACACTTGTCTATTATTTTTCCAAGCGAATGAAATAAATGATCAACTGTCGAGTATTTAATCAGTTTATTAGCATGAAAAGAACTCAACAGAAATCACTCCTTATAGAATTATCATCAGGAAGAATATTTCATATCTGATTTCATATTTAACTAACTTCTGTACTCTCATCTGTTAGAAGATATTCACGATTCTATTTGGTCCTTTCGTAGATAGGTCTTTGATTAAATCAACTGTAATTCAGACAACCGATTTAGGTCGAAAACCTAATAAGATTCAGTGTTCCAACCAACCATATTTACACCCCAATACAAGGTTTTTTGAATTTTACGTGAAGACATCTACAGTGCTTAGGGTTTCCTTTTCATCACTAAGAAGTAGGATGATGACAATAGTGTATGCATGCATGTAAATATCTAGATGTCTCAGCCGGAATAAAATCTCCATATTTTCAAGAAATAAATTTACATTATTCCATCAACTGCGACGAAAAATTAGTGTAACCATTAGTAGAACGTCTTGAGACTTACAGAGATGTTAGGGCTGTAAGATTTGCTATCGATGGACTAATGCCTAGTCCAAGTCCACGACGAGATAAATTTCTGTAAAACGGAAATAAATGTAAAACGTTTTTGTTATCTGGTACAAGGCTGAAGTTAATTCTCCATAATCTAGTTTCTGATTAAAAACCTTACAGAGAAATTATCCTTGGGTTCTCGAATTCATTGTAACTGCAGTTGAGGCCGTCCCAGGTGAGATTCGACGGAACGCATGGATCCCCCATCCAAGCCTTTAAATTATAATACTTTTTCACCTCGGAGATGGCATCAACTGAAACCAAGGCGCTTTCAGTGACTGAGAATACATAAGAGCCTGCTAGAAAAAACTGTGCACGGAAAAACAAAGAAAAAACGTTCATGTGATATGACATTAAATGACAAGAAACCTTTTGTTTCAGGTATATGCTACTAATACATTAAATGAGAAGCAAAATTTTGTTGCAGGTTTTACATTTTTAAATGAGAATAATCGTTCTAATTATGCTTGAGACACAGATGATCAAACATGACGATCAAATGCGTCGAAATTGGAATAATTTAGAGGACAGAGGAACAGGGACGAGGAGCTCACTGTCAGCTGCATCAGTAGGAACTGTGTCCATATGGATCATTTTATGCACCTCTAGGGCGCTGAGGAGGGGAGGAATGGTGGCGTTCCCCGTGGCCTGGATAGAATAAGTCACCGTCCCTGTCTGCCCAGGAGGAAGAGTGTAGACGTACCAAGACTGCAGGTACTTCAGATTAGTTGCTCCCAGCCACCTTTCATCATTAGCGAGGATTTTGAACTCCCTCGATTCATTGGGCTGGAGCTGACGGATCTCGGCGCAATGGACGATCAAATAAATAGATTTCTCTCCGCTCGTCCCTACGGTGAAGTTAATGCTCTCGGCGAGAGATGACGCCGTCACAGCGGTTCTCAGAACGGCGGATGGCGCACGGAACTCGTCGCCGTCGATGGCACTAACTTTAGCGCTGGTATTAATCGGTTTCCACCCTGTCTGGTTATCAGCGGGGAACCAGATTCGGTCATATGGGTCATCAGGGTACCTGAGGTTTGGATTGTAAGAATTTCTGTCACCGTGGCAGAGACAGAGACAGAGACAGAGACAGAGGCAGAGACAGAAAGAGAGAGAGACAGAGAGAGAGAGGGAGGGAGAGAGGGAGAGAGAGAGACAGAGAGAGAGAGGGAGGGAGAGAGGGAGAGAGAGAGAGAGAGATGTGCAAGGAGCCAGACCGCGTTATCTCAGAGCCACCATGGTTCGTCCGGTCATCCCGGAGAATTAGCGATTGCGATGCATTCACCAACGGATACATGGTATCCGGAAGTGGCCTCAATTCTATTGCCGTTATGTAGGGCGTCCCCTTATCCGTGTTGACGAGGCATACCTGTAGCGACTTGTTCTGGGCAACGGTGATGATCTCCAGTCGGGACAGGTCCAGTGGAGCAACGGTCTCCCAGAAGTGGACGCCGAGATAGACGTCGAATGATGGCGGCTGATTCCGGTCATCGTAGTTCCCGTAACTGAACACAGCCCTCACCAGGTACTTCCCGCCTCTTATGACGGGTCCCAACGTATAGCAGTTCCGAATCCCCTCTGGAAAGCTCCGGAGGGTCGAGTAGAAACGGTGAAGTTTTGACATATCAACTTTTGGGGAGCGATCTGGTTTACTCCGGTGTCAATGTATTTGGCATCCGGGGCGTAGGTGATCCTGTTGCCCGGGTTTACGTAGCTTGAATTGCTTTCTAGGCCGCAGTCTATGCTGATGAACCCTGAGAGAGGAACCATCTTCAGCTGTATGTCGGAGTAGATAGGAAACCTTATGCTTGAAATATCAGAATACGCCACAAAACGGTCATCTCCGGACAAGATTCTGACGAAATGAATTCTAATCTAGACTCGGCCAATTCTAAGATATTGCGGCATTAGAACAGAGATGAAGGGGAGATTATGAACAGCAAGCGCGGCAAAATCTGACGTACCAGTCTGGGATGGGTCCTGCGCTGAAGCCAATAGCGCCAGGAGCCCCAGCAGCAACACGTATACCCGCATAGCAGCAGTCACCGGCTGCGTCTATCCTCTCGATGAAGTGAATGGCGATAGGTATCCTATAGATACTTGAAAGTGGGAAAGGGCTCGGAGTCGGAAGGGTCCCACAACGATGCCCTCCTCCCGAGTCTCTCAAGGAGAATCAAATAGATGGCATGACAGGAGATACCGAAACCTCTGACTCTGACTTATGTGATCGCAGAAGACAAATGAACGGCGAGCAGTACTTCATAGACTTTGAACCGTTCAGTAGTCTGACTTGGGATGAGTTACTTAGACTCAGATACCAGCAAGCATGAACTTCGCCGAAATTTCTATCTATGAGAAGCAGGTAGATGGCACGTCAGATGATGACAAAGGCTGTGAAGTTGGCTTGTATGATCGTAGAAAACCAACAAAGATGGCCAGTAGCCCGTAGACTTGGAACCGTTCAACAGTATATATCCAGAGAAGAGTGGCATAGAATAAGAGGATACCAACTACCCTGAATTTCGCCCCAATATCCTTCCACGAGAAGCAGGTAGATGGGACCGGTGGCTAAGCCGCAAGTCTAGGACGTTGACGTCTGTGATTGAGGCCAGATAATGAACGGATTCCCGTTACCCACCGACCCCGTAGACTTTGATTTTCAACCAATACTTAATACAACATAATGATGGAAGGACTCAGTATTTAAAGATGCATCTGATTGCCCTCCTCTAGCTTCATCTCCCTTGAGTAGTTGCGGTTGTTTTTCTAACATCAACTTCCAGAATACAGCAATCCTGAATACGTCTGTAGGGAGGAACCTATAGCCTCATATCCCAGTTCCTTTGAAAATTAGATTTGTCGTAATATGAGGTATTTCATGGGTGCAAGTCATTTTACATTAATCGTATTTAATCCTTACTTGAGTTGTATTTTGTTGGCCACCAATAGGTTTGCTTCCTCCTCCCTCCTGCATTTCTCCTCCGTGTCCACCTGATTATTTCTGTCCCCGCCGCCCTTGCAACGGACAGGCCGGACACCTTGGACATCGCCCTTCTGCGCTCGGGTCGCCTGGGCCGCAAGGTAGAGTTCGGCCCGCCGGACCTGGAAGGACGGACGCAGCGGATCTTCAAGGTCCACACCCGGACGATGAACTGTGACAGAGACATCCGCTTCGAGCTCCCCGAGGGCGTCGAACCCGTCGAGCTGGTTCGCAATCTCTAGCATCGTGCGGTGGACTTGGTTGTCCCCGCCCGTTATTTCTTCCCACCTTATTGGATCCCTTCGGCGCAAGTGAAGCCCGATTAACCGGAAACCATCCCCTCCGTCGGGACATCTTAAATACTTATATCAGACTTATATTTTAATAATATATTATCATTTCGCCCTTCTCCTCTCTCTCTCTCTCTCTCTCTCTCTCTCTCTCTCTCTCTCTCTCTCTCTCTCTCTCTCTCTCTCTCTCTCTCTCTCTCTCTCTCTCACCTGGTAGGGCAACAGCTTGAAAAAGTTGCAGAATTTTGTCAAGGTATAATTTACAAGCGACTTTTTATATGGAGACTAGGCTTGGCACGCAACAGAGCGGAGGGGGTATCGCCATCAGACTGGTGTAGTAGGCCTTGTCTCTTCTCCTCGATCTTCATCGCTTTAGATGGTCGTCGAAGGGATGCGACCCAGAGCAATTTAGGGGTCCACAGCTGATATATGGCTGGCTCGCTATAGGAGTCGATGTTGGCATCTAGACTTGGGCTGAACTCGGTCTTCGAATTAAAAGCCCGTTGACACGCTCGCTAGAAAATGTTGCGGGTCGGGGAGGGGTTGGACGAAACCGTAATCAATCGGAGGGAAGTGTAGGAGTTTGATGGTTGAGAGTATGTAGTCCGCTAGAAATCATGTTTCTAGCAACTACGACCCAGCACATGTGATCCATTTGAAGATACTGGGTGTTGGGTGTTGGCTACCCTTGCCTGGCAGGTTGGGAGTCCCATCCCCAGGTGGAACCGGCCAGATTGGCATCAAACAGTAGTGGCATGATTCGATGGCTGGGATTCCCATGAAGCCGAACAGACGATGCAGATACCTGAAGCGCGATGAACCCGGAAGAACATACGGCTGTTGAAATATGAGTTTGGGAACCAAGCTGCGGATCACTCCGTGTGCCGTGATAGTTGGTATCTCCGTCGCATCTATCTCATTTAACCTTGTCTTTAGCAATAATAACTCGTGATATGTAGAGTTTTAGAGTGGATCTCAAAGGGTCGGTGAGTGATTGATAAATTTATTCAAGGGTTAAGGTAAGATATTTGATCTCTGAGCTTTTGAGAAATGTTCTTCTGTACCTCTTTCAAATCTAGAAGAGTTCTTCGCCATCGCCCATGAATGTAGGAAATCCTTCTCTGAACCACATAAAATCCTCATCTCATCTGGGTTGTGAGCTATTCGTTTCTTTTTTCCTTCATAATTTTCCGTAAGTGCACATTAGATATTTTACTCCAACGGTGAGGATGTCAGGACATGGATGGGGATGATGGAAGCAGCAGCATGATAGTACGTGGATGTACGTGGATGTATGAGAACCATGTGTAATCCATACTTCCAGATGGTGAGAAGGTCAAAGAGATCGCCATCAGGTGCTGCGTTATTTTTTTTCTGAGAGGAACACGTTACTAAGGAGATATTCTGAACACTGAGATTTAATACCAGTCTAAAATCACAACATCCACGCTGATCAACATGAGAACAAGTCATTGCGTTCGTGGAATATTAATGACAATGCTACAAGTTAAGGGTTCATCAAAACTCGTGCCAACATGTCTGAAATGAATGCATGCCTAGACAAGAAAAGGTGGATGAGCTAATCATATGACGATAAAGTTTCCACTCTCTAGCTATAAATAGAAGGGCCCTATAGCATCAAACAGAGTGAGCAATAGATCTCATACTCTCCCCTTTCTTCTACTTCTTGGTAGAATTAGTAGTGCATTCCCCCCTCATTTTTAGGCTTTTGTAAAGTCTCCACAAAGATGAAGGTTGTTGACTTTGAGACACACAAAGGCACGCATGGTCAAACATTTCAGAAATACGGTCACGGGGAAATATATGAAGACCAAGATGGAGGCAAGTAAGTAGCTGGTGGCAGTGGAATTCGAGGGCTCAGCAAACAGATAGGCATGAGAGTGACCACCCTCGACAACACCATCATCGTCAACCCTCAGTAGCACCATCCTCACCAACCCTCGGGGCAGGGCTTCCTCCCCTAAGAGACAATACCACTACCTCTCCCACGTGTTCCCCCTCCTTAAGTCCGCCTTGGCAGGTGAGCCTCTCCCCTGCCAATGTAGACCGCCTCTGCTACACAAAGGACCCTAGCATGGTCCCACTGCAAGTCACCGCCAAGGCAGTGCGGATGCTTTTGCAGCTGTGGAAGAAGCAACCCATCACCATCAAACCATTGTGTCGCCCACATCGAGATGGAACACTCCACCATGGGGGCTGAGGAACCTATGGTCCTCAATGTGAGTGGCAGGAACACATGTGATCACATAAAGTGAGGCCAGGTACCAGAACTTTGGGGAGACAATCAACGTCGCCATTGGGAACTACCTCTACTGTTTTGCCAGGGTTCTTAACTGAGAAATTCCTTGATCTTCCCTATGTCAATTTCAATAAGATATTTTCTTCACCATTTAAAATCCAACCAACAAACAGTGCCCATTTTAGGAATCAATGGGAAATTTGGCCAAGTAAAATGAACACTGATATCTGAGGTATTTAAAGTCGGGAAAAATATCAGAAGATGCTTGAAAGAAGAGAGCCAATTTTAATGACATGATTTTGGAATTTATTGTCAAAAGTTCGCATAAATTACATTTCTTATAGGCAATAACTCTGCTCTCTGATACAAAGGGCAGCAGCATAGATATCCATTCCTACTGGCAAAACGTGAAACAATTCAAGAAAAATAAACTCATGAAAGGGAAAATTACCACAAACGAAATATCAGATCCAGTTACATGCCTGCAATGCTACGAAGCCAAGATGAGTAAAGGCTTTGGACAGGATTCTGCAAGAGCACCCATCGTCATGCTTTATCTAACCTTGCACGGGAGTTTTTCTTGGCACCCTCCAAGATAGTTTTGTCTGCCGTAATGAAAAAGCCTGAAATAGAAGCTGCCAAACAAGAGAGCGAGCGAGAGAGAGAGAGAGAGAGAGAGAGAGAGGATAATGATGACGATGACGATGAGAGACAAGCAATTACAAACATATCTGCAATTTCCAAGTGAAAAGAGAATCAAAACATGACAGTAACAAACAAACATGTGACAAGTGCCATGAGTATCACATCGCTTCTTACATTGGTAACCTGAAGTATTCCCAGTTGGATTTTGAGACTGAGTGGTACAAAGTCAATCGTAGGGGGCCCAGGCTGTCTATTAGTTGGTTTTTAGCTTATAGGCAATATTGCAACTTCAAGTGGGTGGAAATTGATTTGTGCCAAATTTCTACCTGTTGTGATGTCAACTGGCTATTGAGTCTCCCAGTACTATTTATCTTTGTCCTGTCATATCTAGCACGCACATGCAGCAGGGTAATACCCTAACGTCTAAAAAAGAAATGATATGGGCCTGACTGACTAGAATTAACTAACTAGCTAATTATTACCTCAATGAGACACAATTATACTGTAATATGTCATTAATGTTCATAAATTAATAAACATACATAGAAGCACAGATCAGACCTACAGCATAATAGAAACGGGGAGACCACAAAAGATGAGGGAAGTCAGCTGTATGGGAGAAAATCTAGGCGGCAGCTGCTCATGTTATTCATGAAGACGATGATCCAATAATTAAAAAGCTTGATAGTTCATTCAATAGAGGCCATGCCCGTTGATGAAAGGGAGGAAAAGAGAAAGGAGTTTCCCTTGAAATATATAGCGAGTAACAAATAGGAATCTTTCTCAGTTGCATAAACTAAACATAAAAGTCCATCGCCAGAGAGTTTTATGGTAACGTACAGACAATAAATGATTGTCGATCAAGCTGAGGCTTTCAGAACTGAAAGGTCTAGGAGTTGCTACCACAGCAGGCAGGAAGAGCCTAAGCATCAGAACTAATTGCCATCTGGGGGCAGGAATTTCTAGAGCTATCATGATGCAGCAATTGCTACATTCCATTAAAATGTAACGGAAAGGCTATTAGTGATATAGGTCAACCTGAAGAAAATCAAGGTCACCACTTGACCAGATATGCCAGCTACCAGTGTTCAAAGCTCTACTCATAACATTCTCACTGTAAAGCGAATACCTCTGAAGAAAAACTGAAAGGCCTTGCTATATTGCAACCCTATAAAAAATCTCAAGAAAATTGAACGGACTAACATTTAAAAGCATTGGAGCCATCCTTTTATGGATTATTCTGCAGAGAAAAATCTTCACAGAAAATCTGTGATCACCTGAACACGTCAATGTAGTAGGAGGACAGACAGATACCAAACGAAGAAATGAAAATCAGGCCACAGTACTCACTTGGCATAGACACCTGTGTTCTTTGGGGAAAATTTTTTATATAGCAGATTTCGATCAACATTATCAACAATCAGATTTTATATATCTTAAAAATTTTATCATGATTCAATCCCATTAACATCTGAGCTCTGCATGGAATAGTACCACCTTCCCAGAGATTTTTCACACGTTCCCATATGCCACCTTACAATACGATTCATACATCTGAAATAAGACCCTTCGAAAAATTCTTTAAGATAGGTTGTCCGAGTACTCTTCACCAGGTCTCCATAGCACCCATCAAAAGGGCTTTCCAACTTAGGTTGCCAGGAAATCGAAACTAAAAAGTTTTTGAGGCAGCGAATGAGTCTAGGAGAAGGGTGAAATAGAAAATGTGTGGCTGAAGTTCTTTGAAGTTAATTGAAACTTAGATATATAGAAAATGTGTCGTACCTGCTGATATGATCAACGCTTGTGCAGTGTAGTTCAGGTTAGCTTTAGCCCAAGGAACAACACGGCAAGCAACCAACTAAAAACACGAAAGAATGAAGAAACAAACAAAAATTACAATGAAAAAAGGAAATATACGCTGCCCAATAGTTAACCACCTAATACGGAAATGAAGATCCGAGTCACTGAAGCTAATAGACCCTCTACGTAACAGAACTAAAAGATCCTAGGAAGGTATATGTAAAAGACAGGCCTCAAACAAGACGACCTCACAACAGAAGAAGACGTGAAAGGCAGAAGCGTACCGTTGGTACCGCAACAACAACGCCTGCAATGCAAGCCGTCTTAAAACCTTCAACGACAGCGTCTGCCAAGGGAAAATTATATTGATCAAGTCTCATGGCGCAAGTGATATCGCCCTGCGGACGACGAGGCAGGAAGCGCACGAAACTTGTAACAACAACACTAACAAATTATAGTGGTGAAACTAGGAATTCAAGACTTCACCATAACGCAGTCGAACGAAAATTTCCGAATCTCAGTACTATACGAGAGAGAGCTACACGATCGGAACCAAGACTGAACGAATTACAATATAACTAATTCAAATTTCGGGAATAACGAACAAAAAAGCGACAAACAGAAGATATCGGACTTCAGCTGTGTACCAACAGCCTGCCGCTTCACCTTTCACGGCGCTGTCGGAGGCTGAGACCTGGGGTTCGCTGGGAGACGATATCAAGAGGGACCGCCCCTGGTTCCTTCTGCTCGTCCACGCCTCTCTCAGCTCCAGCGGGATACCCATCTTCCCTTTCCCCCCCTCCTTGTCAGATCACCAACCAGACTTGTCCACCTTGAGCTCTCTCTCTCTCTCCACCTCTCGCCACTCTGAAAGGCACAACGGAAGCCGACGACCGGGATGCACCCATCAAACGGCAATCCTCACTCCTCCTGTCGATATGCCACGTGGTCCCCGATGGACGGCTCCTTGCGGTCGAGTTGGGGCAATCAATGGGCCCTTATTGGGCTGGCCCTGAGCCGACCTTGGGCCGCTCTTTCCATGTGGCGAAATCCAGGCCGCCAGAATCCGAACGAACGGTTCAAAGTGATTAGGACACGTCACTAAGGCACATAGGCGGTATCAACCATTTAGGACTAGCGTGGAGAGAGTATCTCGGTTTCGAACGGGGAAGAAGGGTTGGATCAGCAGGAATGTCCTCTCCTGGAGAGTAAGTTCTCATCTTCCTCTCGCTCTCTCTACCAGTGGCAGTGCTTCCAGCGTCTCCTTGTGTAGTTCCCCTCGATTATCGGCGGTATTTTTCTGGTGGTAATCGCTGCTGCAGATTGATCGATAGAAAGGGCTTGCTGGATCATTCTTCGAGAGAAATATTTTATGTGTACATGTCTTTTTTTGTTGATGCATAATGTTATGTTCGTCCTCAGGTGGTGTGGCGTCTTTGTTCTGATTTATTTATAATGAATAATCTGCGAATTCGTGAAGAATCTTAGAGAATCATCTTTGCTCGTGGAAGGATTTCGTGAGAAAAATAACCCTAGGTGAAGAAAATTTCATCTAATTCCTGATCTGGTAGCTATGTTCCGTCTTCTCGACTTGACCGATGGCTAAAGCCAGGAACGTTACCTTCTCGCGTATCTTGGGCAACTGGACTGTTCGTCCACGTTTTTTATGCCGGCACATGATTCATCTCGTAATGATGATGATTGTTGACGGTATAGACGGCAAAGCTCGATCTCCATTTCCTTCGGTGGATATTGACAAAACAGCCAAAAACCCCTTTCGCAGGCCATTAATTGTCCTTATCCGCAATGGCATGATTTTATTTTCCCTGGCATCCTAGTAGTTTACTTGAATGTGTGAAGTGTTTTATGATGAACCTTCCTTCTTGTCTCCCCATTCAATAACCTCCCATCATCATGACAAAGGGAAATATGATGATATTCTTCAAGAACGAGAACCTATGCCCCTGGTCTGATCTCGGGAAATTGGTTGTGTTCTCCTTTTCTCAGAAAAAGAAAGAATGGTTGTTCTAGCCTCTATATTAACCTCATGTTGCATTGGTAAATGTCATCTTGACAAAGAGAGGAAAAGTTCATGCGAAATATGCAGCAAAGCAGAAAAAATCTTCTTGATTCCCAAAAGCTCCTTTGTCTGCCCCAAATTCCATCAAGGATTAGAAACGTAAAAACTGATGCTGCTTTTTTCGATCCCAAGAAACGATTCAATCGTGACCAAATGTTCAGCTTGTAATCTTTGTGGAGATTTAATGAGCTTCAGATTTTCCCAGTTTATAATTTTCCCTCTCTCCGTCCCTTCCTCTCTCTCACTCACTCTACCTCTCCCTCCCTCTCATTCTCTCCATTTCTCTCCCTCCATGTGAAATTCGTCTGATTTTTTTCCTTCTGTTATTAGACAGATTCCCTTCTTCTTCTCAACTATCATCACTTTCCGTTAGATCTGCAAGAAAATTAATGACTCATAGCTTTACGCCTTTTCTTCTGATGCTTTCAGGTGGTACAACTCTCTTCCACCGATAACGAAGGGATATGGGACTCTATGCCTACTGACCACTGTGATCTGTAAGCTCGGAGTGGTTCAGCCTGTGCACATCGCACTGTTTTACGAGAGAGTGTTTCCGCGCTTGGAGGTGCAGTAATTTCCCATCTCATCTCTCTACCGTCGTCTATTCACTGTCTGAGTTGCCCATCGCACATAGCCCCAACGGAATACAATCCACGCCGCCACCACCCCATCCTGTCTCATGTGATGTTCTAAGCAAGCACACATCCCCGATTGCCTAATTTGTACAGTGCCATCCATCTTTTTCTGACATCCTCTGGTTCTCTCCAGGTATGGAGGTTGATCACAAACTTCTTCTTTCTCGGCCCATTTTCGTTCAACTTTGGAATCCGTCTACTGATGATGTAAGACACCCATCGCCTGCTCTTCCTCTCATGCATGAAAGGACAAACACGAGCTCTCCCCTTATGGGTCCCCCTCACTCGCAGAGCAAGGTACGGGGTAAACCTGGAGAAGGGCCCGTTTGACCGCAGGACGGCCGATTTCCTCTGGATGTTGATTTTTGGAGCATTATCTCTCTTGGTATATACCCACTCTGTTCACCCCAGACTTCGACTCTTCCATCTCTTTCCTACCTGACGCGTCCTTTTCTTCCCAGGCTTTCTCCTTGATCCCTCCACTGTGGACCCCGTTCCTGGGGATTTCCTTGGTCTTCATGCTTCTCTACGTCTGGAGCAGGGAGTTCCCGGATTTGCAGGTCAACCTGTACGGCCTTGTGGCCCTGAAGGTAATTCATGGGCTCTGTAGGTGTCTGGTTTGCGAGAGACGCTCTCTCTCTGTGCTAACATGTGATGGGGGCTGGCGTTCGTAGGCATTCTACCTGCCGTGGGCGATGCTGGCTTTGGATGTGATCTTCGGCTCCCCCCTTCTGCCCGACCTCCTGGGCATCGTAGCCGGTCATCTCTACTACTTTCTGACCGTCCTTCGCCCTCTGTCCACCGGGCAGAACCTCCTCAAGACGCCTCTCTGGCTGTATCCTTTCCCGTTGACTTTTCTTCTTGATGGCCCATCTTCTTGTGCGCTTCTGTTGCGCGGGATCGTCTCTTTGAGTTCCTTGACCAGGTACTTCCGCAGACATCGGTTGGTGGCGAGGTGGGGCCTTGGCGCCCAGGTGTACCCTGGGACTCGTAGAGCGAGTGTTGCGGAGGGTGCCGCTTCAGCGGGGAGGGCCTTCTCTGGGAGGAGCTACAGGCTCAACAGATGACTAGGCCAGCTGAAGAACAGTGTGCTGCTCTTTTCGGAAAATCCTGGCTTTCCCCCTCTCGAGGGATGTGCTGTCGACTATATCCCTCGTTTGGTGCCTGAAAACGTAACCTCTCTCTCTCTCTCTCTCTCTCTCTTTCTCCCTCTCTCTCTCTCCCCCCTTCTCTCTCTCTCTCCTCCGACTATCTCTTTGTCTATCTCGCTCTCTCTCTCTACCTCTCTGCCTCCTTTCTCTCTCTCTCTCCTCGTACGCTCTCTCTCTGGTTCAGATTTTTGAAAAATGGCCCGGGCCAGAATTCCTTCCGGGCAGGGCAAGCCCGCTAACAGCGCAGGCTGTCTGGGCCTTCTAGGCCACATTGATTCCTACGTGGAACCCCAAACCCAGCCTAGGACGTAGCCAATTCCGCTTTATGGGCCTTTGTCGGACCCAAACCTTCTCCACGCTTTGATAACCGTCTTAATCGATTATGTCCTGATTTTCTTACTGGGCTTGATTTTGGGCCCCAAAGCTAAATAGTTTGGGCCAGGTCAAGCTTAAGTATACCCCCCCGCCCATTAATCCCAGGTGGTTGAAGACATCTGGTGTCTCCATAAATTTTAATTTTTTATATGATTATTATTATTATTATTATTATTATTATTGTTATACGCGCTATTTTATTATCCACGTCTGGAATTTCTAACCTAAGTGGCAAACGTTGTGAACCGTTTGAAGATTGCCGGTTCAAAGCTCCCCCGCCCCGGGGACCACCGCCCAGCTCCACGGACCGGAACCGGCGCGACCGGCTGCCCCGGTCCAGGGAGGCCGTGCAGCCATGTGGGCCCTACTTCGCTTGTAACTCACCTGAAGGTATTAATTAAACAAAACCGCCCCATCAACTCCCCCGTTTTTTTTACAAAAAAGAGCCTGTGGTTTCAAGATATTAATTAAAAATCAACGACCTATGAGAGTAAATTAAAAAAATCCGTCTGAAAGTTCTGCATTTTATAAGAATAAACCTCTATTTGAAAGTATTATATAACTGGTCCCAACGCACCTTCGTTTATTTATGTTTTATTCATTTATATATCCCTCTTCCAATCTGTCCACCTGGCCTAATTAATGTACACTTGGAGACCTCTGGAGCAAGTGGGCCTCACTTGTCTACTGGGCTGATACTATGCGTGCTCTCTCTCTCTCTCTCTCTCTCTCTCTCCCTCCTCGATGGGTCGACGCAAAATGGGCCCAATATTACGCGTCACATGGGCCGGGCCAGATCAGGAGCCGCAAACAGAGTGACTTGGGGGAACGTCGCTGATAAACACGTGCGAGGAAGGAACCCCTCCCCGCTCGACGGGAACTGACACGTGCGATGGGAAGGGAGAGCGAGAAGGTGAAAAGAACCGACAGAAAAGTTCGTTATATCGTCTACTCCGTCGACGGCAAGCTTCACAATCTCCTCCGGGACCAATAGTACTCCGCCCCCACATCTCCGCCGCTGCCTGCGAGCCTCGACTGCACGGCGTCGCTAACCGAGAGGCGCTTCATCGGGGCCGCTGCCGCCGGTGGCTCCGGCCGCTGCTTGGGGGCGCTCTGTGACCGCACCTTCGCCTCGAAAGACTGCGTCTTGGCCATGTAGCTCCGGTGGTGGTGCTCCCTCCTGCTCCCGGTGGCGGCGACGGCGGCGGGTTTCAGGAGGCGGGGGGTGCTGTGGGCGGTGGCGGAGCGGCACTCGTCGCTGGCGAGGCACCAGTCCGGTGGGCGGCGGCGGAGGAGCGGCGACGAGAAGTCCGACGGTTTCTCGTCGCCGGAGTCGGACGAGGAGGCCACCAGGCGGCGGCGGTGGAGGAGGAAGCTCCACCTGGGTGTGCCTGGGTCGATCTCCACGATCTTGGGGCTGTCATCGACTCCGGCGATGGCCTGCTCCGGCGGCGCCGTCGGTCGCCGGCCGTGGAGCGGCAGCACCGAGCAGGACGGAGATCTCTGAGAAAGCCTCCCGTTGGTCGACCACCGGGAAGACCCGCCGGCGGCGACATCGCCGGAGAGCCTCCTCCGCTCCCGGGCTTTGGCCTGGGCTCTGAGGAGGGCCTGGATGCCGCGGAGCGCCGCTGCCGCCTGCCGCCGGACGAGGTAGCCGCGAACCAGGGCCTGAAGCTTCACCAGCGCCCTCAGAGCTCGGAGAGCCTTCCTCGCCTGCGTCAATGGAGGTCTCAACCGCTCATTTCAGAGAAAGAAGATGCGAAGGATGGGCAGCTGCCATGGCTGAGAGGATGTTACCAGATAACCCCTGAAGGCCGTCTGTATCGTCACGGCGGCCCACTGCTCGCCGGTGCCGGAGAAGAAGACGGTGCTCCTCCGGTGGCTGGCCAGCCGCACTACCGCCAGCGCCGCCTGTGCGGCGGCCACTGCCGCGTCGGTGGCGGCGGCCGTCGCTGCCGCGACCGCCATGGCTCGACTGCTCCGCTGTTTCTCTCTCTCCTCTGCGTAGAAGAAGTGCCTCCCATCATCCCCTCGGGCGCCGGCGCCGGCGACGTCGCCGGACTTGCTGCGCTTGGGGTCCTTCCCTTCTTTCTTCCCCGTCCAGAGGCTCCGCAGCCACCTGGTCGCCCTGCCCATGAAGGGGAAGAAGAGAAGAAAAGAGAAGAGAAGAGAAGCTCGAGAGGAGCTCGGATGGCGGGAAGCGGAGAAATCTGAGGAATCTCCCCGAGAAAGAGATGAATATAAACGGGGAGGTCGCAGATTTTCTGCAACAAAAACCTGTCAAGCCCTCGTGACGATCGGCATTACAGGACAAAGTTATCGAGAGAGAGAGAGAGAGGAAGGTCCCCAGAGGTTGAGGATTGAGAACTGGACTGTAGCAGGGGGAAGTCGGACTACAGCTGCTGGGAGGGTTCCCCGGCGGCGATGGAGGTGGTGGCGGAGGGATTGGACTTCACATGGCGCAGATGGAAGAAGGCGTGGGAGTAAGAGCCCCCCCCCTCCTGCCATGGACGGCCAGACAGAACTCCAGCAGGACGAGGGGCCCCTGAAAATGGGAGAGGAGAGGGGAATCCCCCCTGATATATAGAGAGCGAGAGAGACAAGTTGGGGAGGAGGAAGAGGGAGATGTCTTTTCCTAGAAAGGAGGAAGAGGACAGTCATACGGGGCTCTGCTCCCCTTGTCTCGCTCCCCCATCCCTCTTCTGGCTGTCTCTTCTGCAGCCCCTCGCCCCACCTTAAAAAGGGTTCTCTCCATCGCCTTCTCGTTCCTCCCGCTGCGGCCGGCCATCTCTCTTCTCTCTCTCTCTCTATCTCAGAGGGGTTGGTCTGGCTGAACTGGGCAAGGGAAGGGCCGGATGTGACGAGAGGGGGGGAAAAGGATGGAATTAGGGGGAAAATGAGGAGCGAGATTCATGGGGGCGGAGTGGACAGTTCACCGACGGCGGCACACGGCCGGACCCGTCTCTTCAACCGGCGGCAGCGGGGGCGCGCGGCGAGGAATACCCCAGAAACCCGAGAGAGTTTGAATCTTCCTCGACCGCCATTACGGAACCCCCCGGCCCCGGAGCCACACGTGTGGACATGGATCATCACGTCACGTTCCGCCCGGCAAGGACGTCTCCGAGAAGTACGCATGGCTCTCTCTCTCTCTCTCTCTCTCTCTCTCTCTCTCTCTATCTCGATCTCGAGGAAGAGGCAAAGTCCGAGACCGCTCATGTGTGCCTCTCTCTCCCTGTCGAGGAAGAAGATAACAGGAAAGTCCAAGATCATTCATGGCGCTCTCTCTCTCTCTCTCTCTCTCTCTTACTCTGTGGAGGGGGAGGTATCAGGAAAGTTGGGACCATTCATGCTCTCTCTCTCTCTCTCTCACTAGCTCTCTGAGTCTGGTGAGAGGGGATCGGGAAAGCCAACGTCATTCATGGGTTTCTCTCTCTCTATCTCTTCTCTCTCTTCTCTCTCGCTCGCTCTCTCCGGGTCTGGTCTGAGCTTGGCGGCGGGCCCACTTGGGAAGACGTATCCGGCAGCCGAGGCGGCGGACAGGGGAGGCGTTATGATTTCGGGGCCCACAAACTCTGGGCCGGAGTCAAACTCTCATGATTCGCCGTCTTCATGGATGTGAACAGATGGCAGTTCATAAATGGCCTCTCTTGTTTTTCCTCGACGCTTTTGGAGAAGCGGAGGGCCCGGATGTAGCATGAAAACCTCATTGGCCCAATAAGGCCCGGCCCAATATTTATTCTTGGGCTGGTAGTCAAAAGTCTCTTGTACTCTCCCATCTCTTTTTTGTTTGTGGGCTACTATTGTGACCCAATAAAATCAAAAGTCGTGGGCCCCAGTAAAGCCTCCATTAATTTCACGTCTCGGCCCAGTTTGGGGATCCGGCGCTCTGTCAATAATTTCTTGGGTTTTTCTTGCTCGAATTAAATTACCCATAAAAAATAATCAATTCATATAACCCTTCAACTTTTTAATGGAATTTTAAAATATAATTATAATATTTTTTATCAAAAAACTATTTATTTAGGGGGAAAACACTGTTTATAGATGATATTCGACAGCAGAATATTAAAATTCAATAACTGACATGCTCTAGCCTTTCTTTTTTAGGTTGAAAATACAGAAATAACCCCAAATCACCGATACATACGTATTTTTATTTATATTTTTTTGGGGGCAATATTGGTAATATCTGATACGATCACAGAGAGGAAGCCCACTAAGGAGGTGCTGAAAGCTCGAAGGTATTCCCCGTGGAAATGGGCCTGACGACACCCAGATCTCGTCTCGTCTAGAAGCCCACAAACGATTGGCCTACTTCGCAATTGGACCAAGGATCAATAAAATTTATGCCTGGCCCGGCGGGGAGGGCTAATGGGTTTGAATGTGTCGGCATAGCTGGCGGGCGGCCACGTCATCTCACGGCGAGGAAATTTGAAAAAGGTACTATAAGATTTGCACCGTCTCTGGTCTCAGACGACCGTTGGGGTTTCGGGGCCGCTTCTCTTCGACCTCTCTCTCTCTCTCTCTCTCTCTCGCTCGCTCGCTATCTGGGTCTCCCGTCTTCCTCCACTCCTCTACCTCCTTCTCTTCCTGTCGACGGGAATCAAAGAAATGCTGAAGAATAGCAGATGCTTGTCAAGGGGGAGAAAACCTCTGTCCGACATCTCGAACGGTGATAAAATCTCAAGAGCCTGTAAGCAAGAAGCCAACAAAGGAGCGGGCGTCAGCCCTCGCGATCGCCTCCTCCTTGCTCGCGCAGATCTTTCGAAACTCGTCAGTGAGGTATTTTCACGTCTTGCGATTTCCCCATAAAATGGCGCTAGTAATGGGTCGAGAAATTCTCCAGTTGTGATAGAGGTCACTGCTGAAAATGGCGCTAGTAATGGGTCCTCGATTCTCCAGTTCCAGTGAACGATCCGTCGTCTTGTTTTCGACTATTTGTTTACCTGGTTTGTGTGGTTTGACATATCTCGTTCTATGCACTCGCCGTGATCAAACCTGAAGAATGAACTACTTTCTTTGCCGCGATGGGACTGGACCTAAAATTTTAGCATTTCTATGTTATTATATAGCGGTATTTGTGCACAGGATACTCTTTGTGCATAGGTGATGATGGATATCCTGGCGTAACGTCAACAAGAATTTTAAGCAAACTTAATTGACTCTGTCCACCACACACCCTCCTGCCAAGGAAAATTTTCCATTCAACTGTTCTACAATAAGATGGCCAAAGTCATGTATTGGACCATACTAGGGTTGGTGCGGGCTCTCCTTCAATACTAAGAATCTTCTCATGGATCAACCTTTATTAGCATGAGGGATATTGTAAATTCCGCGCGCTTGGATGCTTTAGAGTGCAGAATTTTTACCAGCTGGCTTGTCCATTTAAGTGAGGAAGAATGAGAACAAAGGTACATGCTTGCTTTACCTTTCATGGAGATCTTAGGACTATCTTAGTAAAAGACCATGAATGAATGCAGGATCTTGCGCCTTCTTCAGCTAGAGATGTCCAAAGTGAGAGAAGAAGGATGTCAATAATTAGTCAGAGAGGAAATAATTGGACGATATTAAAGGATAGGGATAGGAATTGCCCGAAGGGGGAAATAGCATAATGCATCTTGGAGAGGAGGAGAAAGAGCTTGGCTGAGTAAAAGCAACGATGACTTGAGGATGGTTGTAGGCTCTGGAGGTATAGATAAGCCAGTTTATGGAAGTGGACGCCAATATGCATGCCATATTTCACAATTCTGCCGTAAGAAAAAGGTGAATAAAATCATCTGTTTGTTAAAAAAATGGGAAGCATATGATAGCAAGGTACAAAACAAGGAGTATTATTTCAAATATTCGTCTCGGAGGATGGTTGGAAGCTGTCGATATAGTAAAGCATTTTCCCCCAAGGATAAACGAACAGAAGGTGTGGGCAAGATCTTTCATGAAAGAATAGTTCAACTAAGTTGCATTTGTCCTATGCTCTGTCGTATTATTTATCAAAAAAAAAAAGAGAGATATATCGTCATAACTCGTTTAAAGTCAATTGGTTTTGAGTTGCAATGCCTATCGTGGAGAAAATTAGAAGTAGAACAACAAGCTAGAGAGGGAAGTTTTTTTATCATGAATTGGTGTAACCTTTTTCCATTGAATTGGTATCAAGTGAAAATGATATGCAAACATGAAGATGATTTAAGACCTGACACGATCACGTTAGTGACTTTAATATGCTCTTGTTAGGTGACTGTGGAAGATGGTAATTGATGAATGGTGATTGTAGGAGACGTGATTAAATGCTACTTTATGTATGGGCGCATATATGTAGTATAAAATCAATGTGATTTGAGCCAATATGGTGATTCATCTGAAACATTATGTTTTGGAATGATAAATTGTGCATGACTTCAATGTTTACTGAACAACTTTGTTTACCCTTCAAAGAAACAAACAGCTGTCAATAGAATCACACTTGCAGAGGCGTTTGATTATAAGGTAGTTGGGGGAGTTTAGTATATACGTACGACTTACAAGAATGTCAATTGAAAAGAAATTCGATAGTTTGAAGACATATTGAGGTAAAGAACAGGATGATCATTGTTGATGCACAGATCCGAGTGTATCATAGGAAATGTGATTAAGAGTATTACAATCGAGTCAGATTATCACCTCAATGTAGACAGTTTTTAAACAATGACAATTTTTAAAAGATGCTCTGTGTGTGTGTGTGTGTGTGAGTGAGTGAGTGAGTGAGTGAGAGAGAGAGAGAGAGAGAGAGAGAGAGAGAGAGAGAGAGAGACGTGGAATGCAGCTTCTACCCCCCTTCGTGGGATCTTAGAGCGCTTATATGTAGCCCTCGTAAACAACAAAAAGGGAAATAATAGAACGTACTGTAGCTCCAAGGACAAGAAAAATTTTCTCTCAAAGAAGGAAAGAAAGTAGCTATGGAGATTTGCATAAACATCTCCAGATTTCCTTTGGAGCCACGTTTTTGAATCCCACTGACAGAATTTGGAACGATACAGCAACAGTTTTGCATGTACCTTGGTGTGGTGAGTTAGTGTTCTTCACTAAGGAGACGCAACAATAACTTTACTGCCGTATGTGTAAATGATGACTTTCCTCCATCAGAGTTGACATTTGATTCAAAACTAATATCCGTCTGATCTTGTTATAGAAAGCCTTTCCAATCTTATATGTGATATGATGAGAGAGGGAGTGAAATTTTTTTTTTCTTGCCCATGATTACATTCAATACTTAGCCTGATTATCCCCCCCAAATAACCAATTGGTCTACCATTCTTGATTTCTGGGGAGTCCTTTGGTGCTGCGAAAATAATTCTTCTCATTTATTACTGCCGAATTGACTAACCATTTTCTGTGCAAAATCCGTGATCAGACTAACCCATTCCCCCCCCACCTTTCAGATTGATGAGTTGTTCATCCTAGCTTCAGAGGATAAATCCAGAAAAGATGAGGGCACCCAAGAAGTTGAATCCTTCATAAGACTTGTGTCTGACATGCGTTCATCGCTGAAGGTAAATGGGCCCCGCTGCCGCCAGCATTTCCCTAGTCTTAGCTTTGAGTTAATTCCTATTTTTATTTTTCTAATGCAGTCATGGGTACCGAGGCTTAAACAGGCCCTTAAATGTCAACCCGTTGACCCTGAAACTTCAGCGGATAAACCTGATTCCCACGTAATCGGAGAAAGGAATTGTGTCCCGGCTGACCCAGAACTGGACCTGATAGTCTCTTCCTCCCCCCTTGTATCCTGGCGCAATGGAGCCTGCACCATTGAATCGGGGAGACAACTCTTTCTGCTCACCCCTCTCCACAAGCTAAGACCGACGGTCCCCAGATTCTCAGAATCCTCAAAACTTTTCCCGAAGTGGAAGAAACATGGTACTTGCAGCGTGAGTGCATTACCAGATGTAGAAGAAAGTACCTATCTGGAGTCAACGGTTGCACCGACCGCTGCTACCCTCTCTGCGTTGAAAACCACAAAAGATCTCTTTCATGATCCGAATCCATCTGTGAAGATCTCGCCATTGAAGACCTGCTCTCTGCTGGGTTCAGCCTCCGCCTCCCTTCGGAGGGACAACAAGATCGTCGCTGCCCACAGAGGGACTCCATGGACTGCTGCAAAGTCAACGCAGATGGACGACGCCTCCTCGTTTTCTGGACCTTCGAGCAGCGGCGGCGAGGAGGAGATCACGAGGACTCTGACTTCCAAGTACCCCGAGCTCTTTGGGCTGCAGCTGGCCCACAACCCCTTCCTCCGTAGGAAGGAAGTCGACGAGACCCTGGACTGGTTCCTCTCCCCCCCCAAGACCTGCGTCCTCTTGGAACCAGTGGACGATAAGGTGCTCCTCCATTCCTCAGGTGTGTAACTCTCTCTCTCTCTCTCTCTCTCGTTTATCCATCTATTTCTCGTTGACTTTGTATATGGGTGTCTGGTTTTCTAGCGAAGCCGGAGATCAGGGGTTCGAGGCGAGCAGTTGGACTTGAGGCCGCCGCCACGCCCGCGTGGAGGTCAACGGGGAAGGGGAAGAACGCGGGGGAGGCGACGCTGAAGAGGGAGCTGTGGACGAAATTCGAAGCGGTTTCCACAAAAGGCCTGCAGTACGATCGCTCCGTCTTACAGCAGATTTCCAGGAACAGGTTCTTGGACATGCTCGAAGAGGTGTCTTGAGCCACCCGCCAGCCCATGCTGGTCAACTTCACCTGTTGGCCCACACCCATTGACTTTTGTCAATACGCCGCCTCCGTCTCTCTGGCTCTCCCTGTATGATGATGATTGACCAGGCTGCTTCTGCGGCGGCTGGTCGTCGCAGAAGTCGTAGGATTATATTTCAGAAGTCGTCATTGCACCATATATATGAAGTAGCGGCTATTGTTATAACGAGCCGGGCCGGACCCGGGTCCTCCACAGGGCCCGGTCCCTTTGAAGCCTGGGCTGACGGCTAGAGAGATGGCCGGGACGGGTAGAGAGAGAGAGAGAGAGAGACGGTCACAGAGGAAGAAAAACGGGCTTCCGCTTGTGTCGGGCCGTATGGAAGCCCGATCTGACCCGGCCCGATTATGGGGGTGGGGTACGCACATTCTGCGGTGGACATTTCTTGCTGTCACCTGCCAGTAAGGTTACCGACTGTTCGTCTTGGAAGGCCTGGTTCATCTCGGCGGTCGTTTTCCCCGTTTTCTAAAGCCCTCCGAAAACCCTCTCTCTGCTCCGGAGCATCGCATCTCTTCGGAGATGGCGAAGGCGAGCTCTTGGGTTCGGCACGTGGAATCCTTCGTAGATTCGTCTCGTTCGTCTGAACAGCAGGTCCATGTCTCGAACTCGGAGTTTGTCTTTCTTTCCTTCCGGGGGACTGACTCCAAGAGGTTTTCTCCCGTTGAGTTTGTCGCTGTGGAATCTTAAAGCTTTGTCTAATTTTGCATATAATTTCTGTTGTATTATTTTTTATCTTTTATTTTTCTTCTCTGATATCTTTATCTCTTGTACAGACGAGGGAACTTGTAATCAAGCTTATCAATTCCTCACTAAATATATTGATTCGTCTTTTCAGAAAGCAAGCATCAATGCGATTGCTGAACTTGTGAAGAATGATCTTTTAACTATCGAGGGATTGGTATCTCTCTCTCTGTTCCTTTCATGTTACCTGCACTTGCACAGAATAGCACCTATTTACAGGCATACACGCTGGCAGTCTCCAAGTTCGCACAAGAACTAGTTTTTTCGCCCGTTATTAATTATCCGTTAATTTATTTTTTTTCCCCGTAGGTTAGAGAATTGGAGCTCTATCTGACAACAAATGATAGTGTTATTCGAGCAAGAGGTATCATTTCTTTAAAAAAAATAAAATTCCGCAAGATACTTTGAGCCTTTACATCGGGATACCTACACAGATTCTGTTGTGTTTTCCATCGGAAGGAACGCTCGTTATACATTGTAGTATACACCAAGGTGGTAAAGGCTTTATTAAAAATACTCAACCCTCCGAGAGTGACAGAGTGCATTCCTCCGCCAAACCATGTCACAGTGCGCTTTCTCACACTACTACAAGCACTTGCGATCACTATCTCAATAAAGTCATTTTGCTTCAAGGACATCTAGCTGTTCCTTTTATTTCACTTCTGCCCATTTTTTTTCATTTTTCCTCTTTTCTGTTTTTTCTGAGTTAAGCTAAATCGTGAATTGATGTCTTAGAGGGATTCGGTGAATTTTCTGCGCTGTAATATTTTTCAATGAAAAAGCGTAGAAATAAAGACACTTTTCATTTGTCTTGCAACTGAAAAGGCTATGGGCGGGACAGAGCATTCAGTTGTAATTTATTTCTAGTATCTTTATCGTTCTCACCCCTTGTTGTCCATATGACTGAATTTTATTAATGTGAATTATGTATATTTCAACCAGAAAATGCACTTGATTTCAGGCATACTTCTTCTTGCTGAAGTCCTGGCTCAGCTTCATTCAAAACCGCTTCATCATGCTAGTATACACTTCTTGATAGGATTCTTCACATCAAGGCTGGTGAGTATGAACTCCTTGTTGAAACTGTACGGCAACCAAAAAACAATTCTTCCTCCTCTTTTTCAAATCTGTGGCAAATTTATTTATTTTTTTGGTCAATATGCTTTCTTTTCAATAAAGGTCCCTATTGTCTGTGTGCTTTGAATCCTACAAAAGAATGATTCTTCTCTTCCGTAGTCAAAGGTTTATGTGACGCTCTCCTTCTATCAGGCAGATTGGCAAGCTTTACATGGTGCACTTGTTGGATGCTTAGTTCTTTTGAGGAGGAAAAAAGATGTTGGTATGGTTATGGGTAATGATGCAAGGACACTTGCTCACTCTTGTTTGGAAAATGTTCAAATACAGTCATTGGCACTCCATGATCGTAAGGTGCGTTTATCTCATTTGATATCACTACTTGCCACCCTTCATCTTCTTATTTTTTAAGCTTTACCCAATTTATATGTGGTTTCACTTTCAGCTGTGCTTTGAACTCTTCCGATGCCTGCTTGATATGCACCCTGAGGATGTTGCTACCCTGGTATTTACGCTTCTAATTATTCTTACCCTCGAACATTGTCCCAAATATATTTTCAGTGTATAATTTGCACTCTGGTGACTCTTTATTCTCTGTTGATTTGCGTTTTGGGATGTGGTTTTTGGACACTTTTGATTATTCATTTGTCATTGGGTAGCTTTCCCTTTCAGGTACTTTTCCATATGAGTTGGTGAATGTTTTGTCAAAGCAAGTTGACTCACACACTGCAAAAGATTTTCTCAAATTTCATTGGTTTAGTGCTTGGTGCACTTAGGGCTGGATTCGCTGCATGGTAAAAGACTTTTTCAGGTGCGAACTATTCTTCGGGGGGGTTTAGGTCAGAGAACCCAGAAGTTACAGCTAAGTTAGCCTTAGTCGCTGTTGAGCTCCCAGATTAAAAAAAACAATTTAACTTTTTGTTTTCCTAGGCTCAGCTTAATTCTGAGTTTGTCACTGGTAGTAGGAGTATAGGATCACGATAAGGAAAATGTCTCCATACTTTAAATTAGTGTATATTGTCCAATTCTCACTGAAGATTCTTTTTTCGTAGCTTTAGTCAATACAGTGAATGAATGCTGAAGTTTTAGCATGTAGATAACTACAGGGAGAAAACATTTATACATAAATGGTGGTATATAGATGTATACTCTCTTTTCTCTCATTGGGAGATAATTTGACTACAAGGTTTTTTTTAAGGTTATTATTTTTCAGATTAATTTTGCTAGAATGGAAATTTGAAAGGTCACTGGTGGAGGATATAGGTTGCTGGACAGTCCATAATTAAGGAATAGATTTGTAAAAGTGTTTTTCCCCACTCTAGTTAAATCTGTTGCCTTGGATATTTCTATGGAGGTTTATAAAAAATTGACAAAATGGCAGTATTGGCTTGTCTTCGGTATTCTCTGATGATCTTATTAAACTGTACATCATTCCCATGTAAAAAACGGTTTTGTGATTGAGAGACTTATTACTATGCTCTATTTTCCCATTCCCTTAAAACTTATCTAATTCAAGTTGTCATTCTTTAGAACATGATGTCTTATACCGGGGATTACTGACTGGGGTTGGCCAGCCAGTCAAACTGATAAATGTTGTTAACTCCTCTCGTGATGCCTAGACTTGGCATCCTTGTAAAAATGATTCCAGTGAAGTCACTGCCTCTTGGGCGCATTGCTTGACCAAATTCAGAGAAAGTAGTCATTTTCCTCCACATCCGGTTCCTCTGCTCTTGACTCTTGACTATGAAGGTGGTGCATGCGCTACTGGTAAGTCCTATAGAAAATCTGTGGATTTAGGATTGGCCAGTGATTTAGATTAAAAACAAATAAAGGTTTTACGTGAAGTCTAAACTGTATTATGTGATACAAAAACATTCCCATCTGTCATTCCCCTTCTTTTCCTTCTCATTCTGTCTCTTCCACATTTCTTTATCTCTGTTTTCTGATGTATCATTCCTAGTCATGGTTGACTTTGAAGGTTATTGGTGATCGTTGGATTAGAATGGACAGACTGCCGAGTTGATTTACCATTCTCATCTCATGCACGACTAGAATTGGATCAACTATCTGGGTGATATTGGGTTGATTTTAGCTGGTATGTCTTGCCTTGAGAGTTCCTCTTAAAGAATTGACAAGCATAAATAGAAGATAAATATGAGGAAAACCATTATTCTCCAAAACTTTCTGATTTTCCCAATAACATCTGATCAAGATATGTAGATCATTGATCAGGTGGCTGATTTGGGAGGCTTGGGCTGATTTGTTCTGGAAAACCTTGACTTGAAATGATATTATTTAAATGATTGCTTACCGATAATGTTTACTGTATACTGTTATTGGTAGCCAGACCCATGTTTATGTTATGCTGTTTTTTTCTAATTTCCCTCATGATATCTGCGTGCGTTTCTTTTTGCTGAAAATATATCTCGTATAGGGTGAAGACCTCGTTCATGGCATCTGTGCAGCAATTGATCAGGAGAAGGACCCTCGATGCTTAATGGATGCATTTCACATTGTTAGGAACCTGGCACGATTATATCCTGAGCCATCTGGCCCAGTAGGAGGCTATGCTAGTGAACTTTTTGAGGTTTTAAGTTGCTATTTCCCTGTCCACTTCACACATGTAAGTCAGCATGAACATATATTATCGTTTTTGATATCGATTCCGTACTGTTTCAAACAGCGAATTAGAACTCAGTAGCGATAACAGCAAATGTGCTATCTCACATCATTTTGCTTCTAAGTCATGTGTGACTATATCATAATTGACGAGTGTTATGTTAACAAATATATTGACGAATTATGTGTACATCGTCTGAATTTCATAGTTGAATATCTTGCTAGCAATTTGTTTTTTGGTTTGGATGGTCCTTATCACAGAAACGGTCACAACATTTATTCATCAATTTTTTTTTATGGATTCGAAACTCCCAGTAGAATGCACTTGTTACTCGTGATACTTAACCTGGACTGTGTCCTACTCATAACAGTTGTAGTCTGGGATCTCAATATCCAAAGATCTTTGATAAAAAACAATGGACGTTTTCAACCTGATTTCAATTTCCAGCTTTTGCCAATGTCATGCATATCAGATGTCATGCAACTTGTAACTACCTTGAATGCTACCTTGACACGCTTGGACTAGTTGATGAGCGTATGAGTACAATTCAGGTGAAAATTATGAAAGAAGGTAGTGAGAAAGAGGGGAAAAAAAAAGACAATGTGAAAGATGTATATGCATGCTAAGAAAGTAAAGATAAGATAGCGAAATTACTGTAGTCTGAAAGTTCTGATCCAATTCTCCTACTTCACTCCAATAATTTTGAGTCAGTGACTAAACCTTCTGGCATTCTCAGGTAATTCTCATTTTATTTTCAGTGCGCTACTCCTTTCTGAAGTGCTACTTTTCATAAATCCTTTGCTTAGTGCTGTGTCACTTATTGGTATTAACATCGTCCTAGTGACTTCTGCGTCACACCTTCTCCTTCAAACTTTTCTCATTGCCGAGTGCTTAGACGCATGCAGATTTGTTGAGCATACACCAATCGTATGAAGCTTCCTTGAAGAGTATAATTGATATTTCTATCAAGGAGTATGCATCATGGCATTGCCTACTTCATTTATAAAATTTCATCCAATTCTCAATGCTCTTTCTTATGACTCTAGCCACAGATAAAATCCCGATGGGAGCATAAATACTGGGCAACAACATTTTTGTGTCACGAATTTTATCTGTTATTATTTTTGGGCAACAACATATGTGTGTCAGGGCTTGATTCAGATTTATCACTACCTCATTGTACTTCAATATTCTTTTTTCTATCCACTGAGTAGTGATCATTTTCTTGTTTTATGCAGCTAAAGGTGGATGACACCGGTATCCTGAGGGAGGACCTGTCAGAGGCCTTAATGGTGTGAAAACTAACATTCACATATTTTTAAAATTACTCAATAAATGTTTCAAATTATCAGCACTTTTACATTTTCAAGTATGGGGATCGATTTTCATTAAGTAAAACATCCATTCATAATTTTGGATAATTGTAACGCAATTCTACTTCATCTGCTACCCAAAAAAAAAGGAAAATCAAGGTGAAAAAGCATAAGAGAAGACACTTGTCAGAAGAAGATTAATGAGAGATATAAATGGAACCGCGGGGGGGGGGAGGGGGAGGGGGGGGTTGTTGGAGAAGAAATGGAAAAGAGTCAAGCGGGAGATCTTGTGTATTTTCATCATTCATGTCATGTTGATTTTTATTAGTGGAATAGTTAACCGTAATTTTCAGTAGAGCGTTTTTTAAAATCAAAAGCGTGGTTTGAACATGGAAGAATTAAAATGAAACTAGATATATTAAACTGCAGTTATCATCCAGTGTTTCTTCCATGGAGAAATAGTGAGAAAACTCATTCCCCATTTTCCACGTTTCTATTTTGTTTCTCGTTGTGCACATATGGCATCGAAGCAGATGTTGTCCTATGCTAAAGAGACCTACTTTCTTCTAGGAAACTTACTGAAGTGGTGTGCAAGCAGTGCTCAATGGCCCCTTAAAAAAAATTGAAGTAGATCTGGCCATAACATAAAGCCGAATCTGCCCCTTAGAAATTGAATGTAGAGGTGATGCCACGTCTACATTTCAGCACAGTAATAGAATGTTCTTCATCCATCTTCATAATGAAAGATGACCAATATTTTTGGGTTTCCAGATCTACTAATGTTTCCCAAAGCTCTGTAAAGTTCTCTTCGAACATTATTTTGTCCCTCTTCCCAAATAGCATATACCATTGTGTGGGCATCAACACCAGTCTTCTCCTATTCCGATTTTTCACTCCATGATGGAAATATATCTTTGAAATTATGCCACCCTATAAGACTATTCATACCTTGAAATTGTATACTATCCATGGAGTGTATTCCATGTTGTATTGAAAATCCCACAATCAATGAAAAGATCATCCACTGTTGCCACCTTTATGTCAGAATATTCATAGTTATCCTTCATATTCTGGTTTGTTTTTTCGATCCTGCTGTTGGGAAGCAATCTTTCAAGTGCCACTTCTTTCAAAAAGATCGATTTTTGAGAGACAAAGGCATGACCTTGTTCGAAAATCCTCTTCATCCCTTGTACTCTCTGCTATGATGAGCTTTCACAAAAGATTTGGTTGACAATCTTCTCTTTATTTCTATTTCCTCGCTCCATTTTATTTGTCACTGTGAAGCTGAAGTAATGTTGTATGTGTTTTGCAAACTAGGAAATATTTTGCTTTCGTCAGTATGTACTTCCTTCTAAACTGGAAAACTAGTCCGGTTCATGTGGATTTTATGTGGTTTCTATCATTCTCGGTGGATAGCTGAGTTCATTATCTGAACTTAGTTGCAGATGGATCTTCTGCACACAGCAATCATCCTTAAGTATATTCAATTGACCGTTGCTTGACTAATAAATGAATGAAGCAGTCACAAAATCTGATGTTTTAATAATATTTTATGTCTTTTATTCGGTAGTGTTTATAACAAATCCGGTTCATTGCAGAGGAAGGATTATCTTTGGAGCAAATGCCCCAGTGATCTTCCTTCTTGTATTTAATTTCACCGATGATAGACCACACGTTAGGTATACAATGACATCATCCATTTCAGACGGATGAGTAATGGTCGCCTTGGAACCTGGATTGAACTCGGAAAGGGAGCTTAAAGATTTGGGAGATTATCATGCATGAGATCCTCTGTCCCATTTGGAGTAGAGAACCTAATGGCTCATTAAAGTGTACCTTTTCAGCTGATATGGTACTTAATTAGATGATAAGATCCAGGAGTGCGTAAGATTCACGCAGCTCATATATGTATCTGTTATTTTTGGCAACATTGTGGTGAAGGACAAGAATATAGTGTTTCGGGTTACCAGTGTAGCTTACATCATCATAGTATAGCGCATGGTTTTTGTACAAAGTTTTTTGAGAGCTCCATGGATACCTACGTGTCCATCCATCCATTTCGTTTCGTTCTTTAATGATTACATGGCGCGAAACAGTTTCAAAAAACAATTATGCAAATTGTTTAGGAGGACTCCAAGGGAAAAAAGAGATATCCCCGTCTCTATCTTTTCCCTTGGCTTCTTCCCATCTAATCCTAGTCAGCACCATTGTTTCGGTAATGATGCCCTGCTGTGCTTCTGCAAACTCGTAATTTACCAACAAGATGTAAACTTCTTTTTTCCTTTTGAAATAAAAGAGATAGGGAGATGTAAACTTCTAATAGGCTCAAATCTGTTGTTGATTGCTTTAGGGATGCTGAATATGTGTGGGAAATATATAGGGAGACAAATACCAATGCAGAAAGGATCCATCTTCCTCTGAGTTGAGGACATTTTTTCATCATATTTCCTCTGGAGAAAAATATGCTTCTCATAAATTTTTGTACAGTTGTTTTTTTCTTGCCTTTTAGGTTATGCTGTAAATAAGTGGTTGAACATTGCTTGTCATTATCCTTGCTGTAAATGATATTCGTATTTGTATCTTTCTGATTATTCACTCTTATAACGGTCACTTTTTTTTTTGTAGCATGCCTTTTGCGCTTCTCCATTCTTTGAAGAGTTTGCCATCCCATTACTGCTGGACAAGCTTTCCTCATCTCTTCATTTGGCAAAGGTATGTAATAAAGCTCAGGTTCTACTTTCGTCAGCATATCCTTATCTGTTATTGCTCGCAGTGTTTATCATCTTAAAGTGGCGTGTAACATTTCACATAAATACTTACAGCTTGATTCACTGAAGTACCTTGGCAGTTGTATATTATGGTATGGAGCAAATAGGATGTCTAAGCATGCAAAAAAATTATGGTTTTCTTTGAAAGATGTTATCTTTCATTTTCCGCGGAATTCTTCCATTTTAGTCCCGAAATCAATTGAAGAGAAGGATTCACTGTCCTATCAAATTGCGGAAGAAGCTTTGAAGTGTTTACGGGCGGCCATTTCACAGTTCAGTAATTCAGATGACGACCCTTTTTCAAGTTTAATCATAAACGATGAAGATATTGAGATGAGTTTCTTGTCTGGGACTGAAGGAAGAAGTTATGAATGTATGTCGGAGGAAAGTCAGCGGAAAATAATTGCTGTTGGAAGTATCTTGTGTGAATTGGTTAAGGCTTCTGGACCTTGTTGTAACAGAGTGATTAAAATATTCTTTCCCCAGCTAATGAACATGCTAGGGATCACTATCAATGGCTCACATTCTCCTTCTGATATGACATATAATGGAAGATTAAACTTTGGAGCCCTCTACTTGTCTGTAGAGCTTCTTTCTTCATGCAGAGACTTGGCTGTTGCTGCTCAAGATTCCTCAGAATTCATTTTACATAGTGAATGGTGCTCCTTGCTTCAAGGTTTCTCGACTTCATTAGCTCATTCTTTTGGTTTGCTGCTGCAATCTTGCAGCTCTGGAGATGTAAACGAAAAGACTCGTGTTAGAGACGCCTCTTTTCTAGGTAAATCATTTTAATATATTATTTTTGTTCTTCGGTTGCATTTCTTGCTGGCTGTTATTTCTATTTGCTTGTCTTCTCTCTCCTGCCCAAGCATTGGCTGCTTTATCAGCATGCCTGGAATGTGTATGCTAAGATGATACATTTCTATTGGGGAGAGGGAGGGGGCCCAATAACAAGACCATACTATTGCAGTTTACTGTATGCACGGGCACAGCTGATCTTGACTCTTGGAGGCCTATTTTATGTATAGTACATATCGTTTATGTTTGTGTATTTTATTACTTTATTACTTAAAAGGAACATACAAGTCCCATATCAACTGTAGGAAAGGGTTTCCCCTATTAGTCTCGTATCTTGCTAGAGTTAGTCCCCTCTTAGTCACTAGAACGGACCGCACAACAAGGGGTCATTCCAGGTCCACGCTCGTCGACAACCCTAGCTTCTCCAGTTGTAGAACATTCAAATATGTCATTTCGCTTCTCATATAGCTTCTAACTGGTTAAGAATGGCATCATGTTCTCCAACTTCCATGCACAATGTCAGAGTTTGAGCTTTTTATTCGAACTTTCAAGCTCTCGTCTTGCTTTGGTCATTGCTTGTTGTTATTAACGAGAGTAATGCTAAATGATGTTGACATTCCCAAATTCAACTGTGATTTAGAAGCATTAAGCCTGTTTACTTGCAGGTTTATCATTAATCATCCCTGTTTTCTTCCATTTCCTGTCTTTACACCATCTCCGTGGTTTTCTCGTAGTTACTCCTTGACAGATCTTACCTTAATCTTTGCATCTTTCCTTGTCCTCTTGCACAAACCTTCATCACCCAAGTCCTCTCATGAGGATCATCCTAGGACAATGCCAAACTCAAATTGGGATCAGTCCCTAGTTGAACTCGCTATATAAATCTTCTCAAACCATTCTAATGTCCAAAAAGTGTTCAAAATTTTAAAAGAAAGCTGACTTGGAGTCGAAAGAATGTTTGTTATAGTGGAGAGAGTGACTTTATTAGATGTAGAAGAATGAGGAGAAAGGAGGGAGATAAGAAGAGAGGAGAGACTAGAGACGGGGGGGTATAGTTGGGTGGGTAGATGAAGCAAGAATGCATTGACACGTGGGACATAATTATTTCTGTATTTCTGAAAAGCACATTCCTCAAAACAAAAAAAACTCTCATTTGTATCCGTTTGTAGTGTGGACTCTTTTGGAGAATCTGTTTACTTGATTTCCTCCAACTTGTCAAAGTAGGGAAACCAAAAAACTGTACAACTGACTTTACCCATCCGTGCTTGTGCCAGAACTTATAGTGTGTGTTGATTCCTGTTGTATAGTCATGGAAGATATAAGGTTCTATTAATAATGATGGAAATCCGCTGTTATAGCTGCAGTTCTATGAGCATCATCTCTGATCTTTTTGGCGCAGCCGTGTTCTAGGACGAAAAGGGTTTAAAAAAGACAATGATATGGGGTAATTCTGCTCTTATACGCTTATACCCATCTGCTTATGTGTAAACTAAATTTAGATCAGCTGACTGCATCCAAAAGAGGTGTTGATTTTAATTTCCAGGAAATTTTTCAAGTCCTAAACCCCAAATCTTAAAGTTACTGGAATGATTTAGCTTGCATTTTTATAAAAAGTGTAGAAGAGAAAAAGACATCTAAAAAAGGAAGAGGAGAGACTGTATCTCATTCAGCCACTCACAGAGGGTTTTACTGACATTGTTTTCATATTGTTCCCACATTTTAAATTCATTGGAAGAGATAATCCATATTTTGACTCCGTCTTTTCTTTTTTGTGGGGAAATCATTTGCAGTGAAGGGCTTGCAGATACTTGTAACGTTTCCCAAAAATTCTCTTCAAGCATCAACAGCTAGTTTTGAGGATATTTTGACAATTATCATGTCAATCATCGTTGGAAACTTTGAAAAGTCGCTATGGAAACCTGCATTGGAAGCACTGTTTCAAATTGGGTTATTTGTGGGTAAAAGTCACGACCCTGAAAAACGACGGAGTTACGAGATTATTGTTCTTGAAAAGATTCTCTCATTGCCTTGGGTTGATGATTCAATGATACCTCTTGGACTGAGGCTGGAGGCTCTCTATTCCATTGGTAGTACGGCAGTGGAATTTATGTTGAGAGTAATTCAGGAACTGGAGCGGGTTATCTTTTCCAGTTTCATCAAGATTTATGTATGTGGATCACATGGTATTCATGGCCCTTTTCCGTCCAAAATATGCATTTCAACTTGATAACTAAATTTTGGCTGTTTATCTTGATTTGTATTTTTCTACTGGGAAGGTTGTGGGGGAGATAAAAGACGGAAAGACCTTAATTCAGCTGTTTGATTTTTATTCCAGTCAGGTGCTTCCATGGTACGCATCCTTCATGGTTTCTTTGTAAAGCACCACTTCTGTCTGTTTCCAAATTGTTTCATTCTTAATCATTGCTATTTTTTTACTTTTTCTTGCATATTTGTTTGATGCATTACAGAGCATCTTTTTTTTTTTGTTCAGGTTTTGCATATAGCTGTCTTGGTAGTTTCATAGAAAATTTGAACTCAATCTGCGTTGTATACTAAAAGTAATGCTTTGTGATCGGAATTTTACTCATGTCCTGGATTAGGTGCAAAAGAACTGAACGGTTTGAGGAGGTTGGAATGCGCTTTGTTCAATGTGTTTGGAATCAAATTGAAAGTGATGCTGATTTTAAAATTGGTTTTGGAGAAAAGGTAATCACGTCAGGGAAATCGATTCGTTGATGGCTTGTAGGTTGTCTTAAATTTAAGGGTTTAGAATGCTCTGATTGGTTAGATACTCAAATTACGGGGCTTGCTTTCCTCGAATTTGCTGATTAGGACATCATCATCCAGTATCGGGATAAGAATTACTTTGTTAAGCTCACAAGACGCATATGTTCTTTTCTTTTTCAGGACATCTCTGACGCTTTAATGATGACCACAAAGCTTGTGGTTTCTGGCTGTCGAGTCGAAAAACAGGTCTTGATTGTTCAAAAAGCCTACAGTATCCTCTTATCGAAGAAATTCTTTCCACCTGAACAACTGGCGTTCCCTTCTGTCGAAGAGAGCTTAAGACTTATGCCATGTCTCAATCAGCTGTCACGTAAGGATGCATTGTTTGTATCATTATTTGCATCTGTGCTCCTAGCACTTAATCCGAAAACACCTATTCCGGATACAAGTTTGATATTGAGATTTCTTATGCTATACCTTCTGAAAGGATGTAGCTCAGCCGCTCAAGCATTGGGATCTCTTCTTAATAAATGGTCCTCGCATGATACCACAGAACCAACGGCCTTCATTCTGGAAGAGGCTATTGAATTAATTCTTGATAAAGGTCTATTGGAAATTATCGATGATGCACTTAAAATATGCTCAGTGGATGCTGGTCAATCAAGTTCTAGTGACTCATGTCTTAATGAAACTCAGCTGCTGACACATGGTTTAGTTGGTTTGTCATGGATTGGAAAAGGTTTGCTCATGCGTGGTCATGAAAAAGCGGAAAAAGTGATCCGTCTTCTTCTGAAATGCTTACTTTTACCTGACAACATGAAAACCACGTCATCTGGAGAAAATATATCAGTAGAGAGTGGGCAAGATAAGCATATTCTTGTAGCTAGATCTGCAGCAGATGCATTCCATGTTCTCCTCTGTGACTCAGAAGATTGTCTCAACAAAAAGTTTCATGCCACTGTACGGCCACTTTACCAACAGCGGTTCTTTTCAGCTGTGATGCCCGCCATGTTGTCTTCAATAAAAGATTGTAAGTCGCAAACTACAAGGTATATACGTCACTTGTGGGCATTCGACCATTTCTCATTTTCACCATTGTAGTTTTATTTTAGGTCCTTTTTGTTGTGGACTGATGTAATTATAAATTTAAGTTGGTTCTTGATTGAAATCATCCATGTGTACAATTATTTGTCTATTTAGGATTCTGATTGCAGAAACTTTTTCTCATTATCTGTCTGTCTTGGGCGCAATCAAGCATCTTAACTGCTCTGGACACTTTATAAACTTCCATCCTAAGCTTCACTTTTTTTTTGTAAGCGTATTTATTTACATAAGGAAATTCACTTTGCATTACGATTTTATCTGCTTTTTTTTGTCCTCTTGCCTGTGATTTCGTTCAAAGTTTTCAATTTGACCCCTGAAAATCACCAGTGGAGTTGTAAGAAGATGGACGTGCATGCTCTTCACCCTGTGTTTCCTGTAATAATCTTCATCTTCTTAAATTTCCTTGAGGTGCTTGAGACTGCCTACCTAATTTTTTATTTTTTGTGTTGGGCGGTTAAAATACATCCAGATTGGTATTGAACAGTGGGGCATACGCTTGCTTTTCCACGCACGTGCTGACAATATTTATTTGTGATCACTGTTTTTTATATCAATCTGAATTCGCTTGTTTTGGCTTGGGGAGCATCACCATCGGAGTTCATGTCTCTCATTTGCTTGAGTTCATTTCATAAGACACTGGTTCTTCGGAAATGGGACATTGTGTCTCTCCGTGCCCCCCTCTTTCTTCATCACCCTCTTCCTGTTCCTTTTTCTTATTATGATTTCATCTATCTTGATGATGGAGAATCTGACCAGCAGTCTGATTCCTTGATGCTGCTCGTGGCAATGGTGAGCCGTTCTCCTTAACCATAATAGGGATTTGTTAGGCAGCATCTTTATGCTTATTTGGTGATTGTTAGGCCTTCCATATTACCATGAAAATTTCATAATGCTTGCCAAAAGGATATGATTTTGTCAAATGTTCTTCACCCAGCCAAACTAGCATAAAAACTTTGACCTGCACCCTTTCTCAGCAGTCAGCGTGGCTCCATTTCTGGAAAAGAATGCTCCTAAAGCAAGAGACAGATGGCTTTTGCCAACCCTGGAGTCGGCTTACCACTAAGGCATACATTGTTAAACCTTGACACAACTCCTGTAGCTGGGGAGCGGACTCTGAATCTTGCGTATGCTGTTGCTGCGGATCACCGCAATACAAGGGGAGAGGAAGAAATGGGTCTATAGATAGTTATCATCAAAAAGAAACCCTGGGAGCTTAGAATCAGATTGATCCGTTGTGGTCGGGGAACAGTATTATAAGTCATGGAAGTGAATTTAAGGTTTAGGGTTTAGGGTACTTCCTCGTCTAATGTGGAGTTCAGTTGACCTCCACAATTCTCCCACGTACAGAAGATGACAACGGCAGCGATGATAAACCCAGACCCTGATTTGGGGTCTCCAAGAAGATCATCTTTGTGCATTTCTTCGTGAATAGCTTCATTCTTTTGCCATGGAATGCACGCTTTGCCTTGAAAAGCCAAAGTGAGCCCTTAGTGAAATGAAATAAATTCGCTACCTAGATGAGGATGTGAGTGCTGAATGTTTTCAAAATTGTGAAGAACACTTCAGAAGAAGTACGTTTTCCAATCCTTAACTGGTTTTCAAGGCTTCTTTACCGAATTTCATGGCATGTTCCAGGGGGATCCTGTACCGGGCTTTTGGTCACATTGTTTCCGACACCCCGCTGGCGGCTGTCATCACAGAATCTAGGAAGGTACCACCATTTCACATCGTGACACTGTTCTTAGCCAAGAATTTATTTATTTATTTATTTATTACATGTGAAAATCTCAGAGCCCATAATTATTTTTTTCCATCTTCTCTCTCAGGTCGTCTCCTTCATACTGGACGCCTTATCCGTTCTGAGTCTCGAAAGTCAAAGTAAGGAGATGGTTTATGGCTTGCTGTTGGTCTTGTCAGGGATTATCACGGTTGAGAATGGTGAGATTGATCCGCAGATGGGCGATTTCTTGTTCATACACTTCGTTCCTGGGCCAGTTTTTCTTTTTTCTTTTTTTGGATATGGAAATAACCTCCGAATTTGATTATTTACTGTTCATGCTCTCCAATGCCCTTCCCAAGAATATGATTAATGATAATATATCCTACGATACTCTAAATTCATCCAAAACCTATGGTTCATTGCTATCTATCCAAAATATATCCTCCGATTTTGTTTTAAAATGAAGCTTTTTTGGACAAATTGTGCAGAAAAGGAAGCAGCCATGGAGAATGCTCCCATCATAATTAGCTGCCTCATTGGACTGATTTCATACCCTCACATGATGGTGAGCTCCTTCTTCTTCTTCCTCTGCTTCTTCTTGTTAGAACCACACCCTATACCGTACTTTTTTGTTAAGAGTATCTGGTTGGTATGCAGACCTCCTGTTCTTCCATTAAACCCATCGCCTGCTTGAGTTTTATCGTTGACTTTCCAATTTAAGACGACAAAGTGGGTTCCCTCTGAAGCCCATTTGACTTTCTTTCTCAGCATGCTGATTGCTAAAGACCGTGTCTTTTGATCTCTCAACAAGCTAACTGTGTGTAATCAAATTTTCTTAGCTCGTTCGTGAGACAGCAGTTCAGTGCCTCATGGCCATGTCGGAGCTTCCGCATGCCCGGATTTACCCCTTGAGACCGCAGGTACTTGTTCGTCTTCTTCTTCTGAACTCTCTGATTTATCAGGGGTTTGACTTGCTTTCTAATCCGCTCTGAGCCCTGCAACGAAAATTTCTAATCCGGATGCTTCCAGGTGCTGCGAGCCGTCTCGAGGGCTCTCGATGACATAAAAAGGCCGGTCCGCCTGGAAGCTGCCAGATGCCGTCAAGCATGGTCTGAATAACTCTTCCTTAGTTGTCAACGGCCGTTGACCCAGTGGAAGAACACTCATGATCGCTGCCCTCCTGCTTTGACTTGTCCACAGGGCGTCCATCGCTTCGAGGAGTCTCCATTGCTGATAATAATGGAGGTGCCGGCTCGCTTCGCCAGCCAAGGTTTGGTCGATTCACGCATTCATGCCTGTGAGCCTGTAAATAGATTGTTGGTATTCGCAAGCGTCACGTTGACCGTGAGGGAATGGTCAGGATTTAGTATGCTTTCATTTCATCGTCGTCGTGTGTACGTTTCTAGTACTCTTTTCGAACCTTGAGTTGACCATGCGAGTGTTCTGGACTTTGACTTGATATCATTGCGCCTCTCTCTCTCTCTCTCTCTCTCTCTCTCTCTCTCTCTCTCTCTATCTCTATCTCTCTCTCTCTCTCTCTCTCAATGAAGATCTGATCTCAGGTCAGGCCAATTTCTGTACCTTTTCTGTCATTGACGCAGTTGGGTTATACGACGAATGCGGACGTAAATACACAGAGAAGAGCGGCGCATAAAGTCAACGCACGGAGCATGAACCACACAGACAGGTCTTTTGCAGTTTCAGTGCCGGTTTCTGCAGTCTTCCCAGAGAGGGAGAGAGAGAGAGAGAGAGTTCAGCTGTCAAGCTTCCAAGATAGTGAAAGCAGAAACAAAACCCTTCTTAACCAATCACGGCAGCGTCAGCAGATAGAAGAGGAAGAGGGTGGGGGATTAACTATAAATAGGGCATCTCGATTAATCATCGCATCTAATAGAGTAGTCCCCGATGAAGTCAATTCAAAAACCTCACGAGAAAAAGTCAATAACAAGGAGGGGGGGAAGCCCACCACCCCCCTGGCACCTGACCTACAAAGGCAAAAATTTAAACACCAGAAACGTCGCGCACTATCCGCATCCGGCTTCTGCCAGGGCTCTCACTTCTTCTTCCCTCCCTTGGCGGCATCGCCGGCCTTGGTCTGAGCAAAAAAAGCCACCACCGCCATCACATTCAGGTACTACGGCGTGGTAGAAAAGATCAAATCTTTCGAATGGTAAGCAGGACGGGGGGCTTACCTTCTTGACACCCCGGATCTTCTTGGCCCTGTTCTTCCTTTCCTTCATCTGCTTCCTCGATTTCTCCACCTTTGTGGCGAGCCCGTTCTGTCAAACGCAGAGAGAATTAGAGACGATTCTATACAGTGATGCAAAGATATGCTAGGAAATCGCCTGACAGTGCACCATGGTAGATAAAGAGTGGAAGCGGAACGCCCAAAATCGTGCACCCAATTGGCATTCCAAATCGGAATCCACGAGTTTTTCACTGAAGGCACAGAGAAAAAAACTTGCTCCTCGGCATCCTCCCAATCTCTGATCAGATCAAATGCAACTAGGGAACAAGAATCCACCGGATATGACTGACGTGAGTCACTCAGTCTTGCCAATTAAAGAGGTGAATCAACCACATTCGATTTCGTCAAAGACCCTAACCCTGAGTTTTAAGTCTCCACAGTTGGTCAACGTTTGCCAGGTCTCTCGCCGTCAGCAACGTCCACATACCCTTTCTAGACTCGCTACAACTTCTCACAGAAACAATTCTAGCTTTCTTGGAGGGAGCAACCAGAAAGAATCCTCCGCTTCTCAAAACATGTCGTCTCTAATAAGATACCTGTGAAGTTACTGGTGGGCAGTTTCGAGGGTAATAAAAAAGAATAAATCCAGCTTTCTTCCACATAAGTAACATTATGTGCCACTATAGTTTCAGCAAGAACTTGTAATGAATTGAGAGAAACAGGTACCCAAATATAATAGGAACAGGAGTTCTAACTAGGCTACCCTACTCTACGACAATAGATTAGCAAAGCTACATCAAAGGTCACTATAAAACTGATGCAAAGTTATTTTGCAAATATTCCGGAGTAAATAAGCAAGAAGCAAACAAAGAGCATGTGGCGAACAGCAACGAATTCACTGTTTGCAATGGAAGCCAACAACAAAATATCACTTCAGAAACCGATGAAAACAGGATTTACTAAGAATTCAAACAAGGTACTCTATAAGACAAAAGGGCACGCGTATAATTCAGAATATAAAGTACTTCAAAACCGATGAACAATACCTTACAACATCAGGAGTATTTCGGAACTCATACAGAAAACAAGAAAAACGGAAATATAAGATTCATTTCGATGCGAAATAACTGAGAAATGGAGATAAGTGCATTGGGAAGATGAACTTGTCGTACCCTGATTAGCCTGTACTTCGGCTCGTATTTCTTCGCATTTTCAACGGAATCGTATATCAGGCCAAATCCAGTAGACTTTCCGCCGCCAAAATGCGTGCGGAACTTGAACACGAAGATCGCATTCTGGTCCTTGACATCGTACATCCTGGCGAGCTTCTCCTTCAGCTCCACCTGCACCAAACCGTGAGGGAAAAATAAAATGAAGAAGATAGCAGGAACACAAATCAACAATAGGAAATCGCCGCGTCACTGAAGCAGAGATGAGCCCCCCGGACTGAACTACGCACCTTCGAAACATTGGCCCTTCCCGGATGTAGGACG